ATTATGCATTACGGGGTTGTGAAGATTGTTAAGTTACACATTTTTGAAACCATGAATCGATCAATGTTAGACCACCGTTAGAAACCTGGAAGCACTGGACGGCCGTTTCGTCCTGGTATGGGACGACTCAGCAGTGCGCATCCACGACTCCTGCACCCCGCAGGATTCGAACCCAGGACCTTCGGTATTGTGCGCGAACGCCCTAACCGATAGACCACTGAGCCGGTATCTAACGGTGTTAATGTCTAACTTGATCAGATTCACGGAGTTGCGCAACCTCATACACAGTCTTCGGTAGTTACTGTCTACACCCGAACAGGTTGAACTTCACTGGTCACGTCTTCCCACTAGAACTCGGAGAAGATTCCTCACGAAGCTAGTCACTAGTGAGCACAGGTAATTTGCATTAGGGGGTTGTGAAGATTGTTAAGTTACACATTTTTGAAACCATGAGTCGATTTAGACATTAACACCGTTAGATGCTGGCTCAGTGGTCTATCGGTTAGGGCGTTCGCGCACAATACCGAAGGTCCTGGGTTCGAATCCTGCGGGGTGCAGGAGTCGTGGATGCGCACTAGCACTGATGAGTCCCATACCAGGACGAAACGGCCGTCCAGTGCTTCCAGGTTTCTAACGGTGGTCTAACATTGATCGATTCATGGTTTCAAAAAAAATATTATTATTATTATGTAACAATTTCATTTCAACTTAATGCATAAATAATTACTGATCATTTTGTTTTGTTATATTTTTTGTTGTTGTTTAAAACAAATGTCAATATTATTGAATTTTGAATAGTTAGTTACATTACATTACACTACATGTTATGTATAACTTGTTATAACACACAAACCCAACAAACAATCAATGTAACAATCAGATTGAAAATTGAACAAAGGAAAGGATAAATAAGTAAATAGGTCTTGTCATCCACACACACACACACACACGTGAAACTATCTATGCATGTATGTATATTGAACTCTTTAACACACACACATTACATTATAGTAAAACAAATTGGTTTATATGATTACATTGATATTTGAATAAATTATTATTTTATTCGAGAGAGAAAATTTTTTTCTTAACCTCATCTGTATCGAAATTGTCTGTCATTCTATTTTGTTAAATAAAAATAATAATATTGAAACAATGATGAAGAAGTATGAAACATATATTGAACATTGAACATTGAACAGGTTATGCTTATGGTGTGTGTTTTGAATAAATATATGTATTTTGAATATTGAAATTTCAAAAATAGCTTACATACTACAGTAAATAAATGTATATATATTTATTCAATATGCTTTTCAATGACATGACATGACTGTATATATGAAAATATCTTTTTTAATTATTGAATAGATAGATAGATAGATAAACATAATTTTATTGATAAAGGCTTACTTTATGGCTGTGGTGAAACATGGCCAATGAGAGTAGAAGATATTCATAGGTTACTGGTTTTCGATCATAGGTGTCTTCGAAGCATTGCTCGTATATCTTGGGACACCCGAGTGAGCAACGCTGTTATTAGGAAACGGGTACTAGGTAAGAATGGCAGATCAATAGATGAAGTGTTGAAACTTCATCAGTTGAGGTGGTTGGAACTTGTGCTGCGTATGCCTAACCACCGACTGCCTCGTCGAGCTATGTTTTGTGATGTAGGAGTAGGTTGGAAGAAAGTTAGGAGTGGCCAGACCAAAACATGGCACAAATCCATGAAGTCACTGACTAGTGGACTGAGTCATGTTGGTAGATGTAGACTACCTGGTTGGGATCCGCGAGATGATAATAATCGATGGTTAGAGACCCTGAATGACATGGCTCAAAATCGTTTGCAATGGCGCCGGTGCATTTATTCTTTATGTTCTCTGAAATCCCAATTTTCTGGATTCTTCAACAACTCTAGTTTTGACTTTCTAAACTGATCTCACTGAATCATACTTCTTGAATAATATCTTCTAATCCTAACCTCTCCGATTACTTCTTATTCCCTTACTACCTCTACTACTCTATTTGATTTGAATTGACAATTATATCTCTGTGTGTGCTAATGTGGTATGGCAACATGAACTGATGTACGTACTTACGTACAAAGTTCTACGTTGCATCTGACTGACTGACTGACTGACTGTTTTAATCTATAACTGTCCTTATGTTCAATATTCAATTTGTTATTTAGTGTAAACTTATGTGTGTCTTTTTTTTACCTTTTTTCACAGTTTATTCATTTATCAAATATGAAACAGTTCTAGATGATAATGTCATTGAAATCGAAAAAAGAGTTACCATATTTAAAATACCCACCTTCACCAGCGGCGCCATCCAGTTCATCCATTTCAAATAAACAAAATAAAAATAAAATGATTAAACGTTCAGTAGTGACATTTGAACAAAATACAACACATTCATCAAATACGCCAACAACATGTTCTAATGGGATTTCGACTACTTTATCATTCTGCTCTACCTCATCATCATTACCAGAATGTTGTTGTAATACAAATCAATGTAATCAACAAACTCGTTATTATAAATTTTCTTATTTATTACGTGTTAATCCACCTATAATACCAAATGAAATATTAAATTATTTAGGATTTATTACAAATTGTATTTCAAATAGTACAACACTGCCGACTTCGACGCCGGCGCCAACTATAAGACCTTTATTATCAAATGTCAATGTGAATTCCACGGGAAAAGTAAGTGGTTATTTTGATTTTAAGTGTTTTTTTTTATTTTAAATGAAAAAAACTCATTTGAAACATTATCAATCTACTTACTTACTTACTTACTTACTTACTTAAGCTTATTATTCCTAATGTGAGTAGAGTTAGTCGTGGAGATAAAAGAGATATATTAGGGGGTGTAGGAAGCATTTGATTTCGACCAAATTGGTCTCGTGTGCTGTTATGGGTATGAGGGCGGTTGTCACTTCCCGGCTGCCTACACCGTGGAAAGGTGTTTCTTGAGGAACCTGAAAAACAAGGTCGATTAGTGTCGGTCTTAGAGATCTGGGAGCATGACCTCAGAGTACAAGGGACAACTACTTGAGACTTGTTGAGTATTAGCTCCACCCTTAAAAGCCCTTAGTGGGCACCCTTACCCAAGGAGACGGAAATCCGTGAGGTAGGGTGAGATGTGACAGTTTTAGGGTCGACCTTTTCTAACCCCTCCCTTCTTTGTGAGAAGGCAGCATCGCTGCAGATGCTGGTTGTCCGAGGGAAACACCTTACTGCTATCACATCCCTCCACAGTCAGTCAGCAGTACGACTTCACCCTCAGACCTTGAGTAGCTTTTATTTTTAGTCTGATCGTTCTCCAATCGACCTGCCTGGTATGGTAGAACTTTCAGGAAAATATGTTCTAGCCAATATAGTTCGGTTGGGTCATGACGATAGGCAAGCCCGACCACCACGTCAAAGTAGCAGCTACGGTCTAATATCAGTGAGAGTAGAAGATATTCGTAGGTTACTGGTTTTCGATCATAGGTGTCTTCGAAGCATTGCTCGGGTATCGTGGGACAACCGAGTAAGCAATGGTGTCGTTAGGAAAGGAATTCTAGGTAAGGATGGAAAATCAATAGATGAAGTAGTGAAACTTCATCAGTTGAGGTGGTTAGGACATGTGTTACGTATGGCTAACCACCGACTGCCTCGACGGGCTACGTTTTGTGGTGTAGGAATAGGTTGGAAGGAAGCTAGGGGCGGCCAAACCGAAACGTGGCACAAATGCATGAAGTCACTGACAAGTGGACTGAATCATGTTGGTAGATGTAGGCAACTTGGTTGGTGTCGGCGAGACGAAAGTCACCTTGAACGAAATAGCTCAAATTCATTTGCAATGGAGCAGGTGCATCCAACCTTTGTGTGCTTTTTACTTCTAACCTTCTGCATTCCTTATAATCTCTACCTTTCTCCTTCTAAATTTATCTTACTCTATTATACTTCTCGAATCATATCTTCGCTCCCTAATCTTCTCTATTACTGCTAATACTTCTATTAATGCTATCACTCTTGGATTTGAACTGACAGTTTCGTCTCTGTTGCTGATGGGGCATGGCAATCTGAATTGATGTACTTACATACGAAGTTCTGCGTTGTATCTGTCTGTCTGTGTCTGTCTCCTGCACTCCTGCAGTGGCTCAGTGGTCTAGGGGTTGGAAGTTCGCTGGCGCAAGACCGAAGGCACTAGATCCGAATCCTGCGAAATGCAAGAGTAATGGATGCAAACTGCCACTGATGAGTCGCATACAAGGACGAAACAGCCGTCTTTTAGTGCTTCCAGGTTTCTTCTAATGATGGTCTTAGGTGTGAAATTATTCTCAATTACATTTTTATTCAAATAAATCTATTTCGTAACAGTAAATAGTATACGATACATTTTCTCCCCTTTTTCCACCAATGATGATGATGATGACGATTGACCATGAGAATGAAAATTTCAAAAAATAAAGCATAAAATTAGAGAGAAGGAGGTTTATTTTGTTTTGTTGCGTTTTTTAAAACAAAAAAATTCAATGTCATAACTTCTTTGTTCATTATTTTTAAAAAAAAAATAAAAAAGGGGCAAAAAATAAACATATATATAACAATATTACCATATCTATCATTCCCAGCCTTGGATGAGTCATATCTGTTGTTTTTTTGTCAATGCATTAAAACAAAAAAAAATAGAAATGAATTCAATTGTTCAATGTACAAATATATATTTGGTTCAATGTTCAATAGTTAGTTATTATGCAATTAAACAACAACAGTAACAATAGAATGATTTAAACAAAATATTTTTATGTTTATGAGTATGAATTTTTTTTTAGTCTAGATAGTGGAGAATATGAAATGATTTATTTTTCTCCTTCTGCCTTTTTTGTTTTAATGCTCTTTGTTCATTTGTGAATGAGTGAGTTAGTTTTTTTTCTTTGTGACGTGTTCAATGTTCAATGTTCATTGGAGAGAAAAATGAAAGAAATGATTTGAAATGTTTCTTGTTGTAGACTTATTATTATTATTAGTAGTATTTATATTATACTTACTTACTTACTTACTTACGCCTGTTACCCGACAGTGGAACATAGGCCGCCCACTAGTTTTCTCCAATCAACTCTGTCTGTCCTGGGCTTCCCTTTCTAGTTCTGTTCAATGTTTGTTCATTCTTCTCATATCTTTCTCTATTTCTCGACGTAATGTGTTCCTTGGCCATCCTCTTTTCCTTTGACCTTGAGGGTTCCATGTGAGGGCTTGTCTCGTGATGCAGTTAGGTGCTTTTCGCATTATATGTCCTATCCACTTCCACCACTTCTTCCTCATTTCCTCCTCCTCCACTGGAATCTAGTTTGTTCTCTCCCACAGTTCATTGTTGCTGATGGTATCTGGCCAACGAATACGAAGTATTTTGCGTAGATAACTGTTCATAAATACTTGTATCTTCTGGATGATGGCTTTCGTAGTTCTCCAGGTATATATATATATTATACTAAGTTAGATTATTTCTCTCGTCAATCGTTCAGGTCGTTAGATCCCTAGAACTCACGTGATATAGGCTCTCATTTTGGATTATGTGTTTTCGCGCAGGGGATGATCGGCTGACCTTGAGATTATATTGCCCACTCGGAAAATCCTTAACTGTCATTGGGTAATGTATTATTTTAGTACGCTATTTTTGTGGCTCTCTCAATTTGTGTGCTTGTGAACCTCATATTTTCTGGGTACTTGTAGAATACACACTCTACGTTGATTTAAGACTTCCTCCTTTACTTAGTGAGGCCTTGGGATGCTCGGATTAGAGTAACCTATCGTGTCACTGGATTATTTGTCTTTGCTCTTGTTTACCGACTAAGGTGAACTTGTGGTGTGAGCTACTTATAAGTAGTATATGACGTGAGTGTCAACGTAATGTCTGGCAGCAGAAGACGGGGGAAGATCAAGAAAGGAAGGGAGAGTGGAAACACAATGGAATTTGTATGAAACGCATGAATAGTGACAATGGATTGATGTTTTGCAACAGGAACAGTCCAGTTCGATATGATGAACTGATATTTTGAAAATGAACGATTAACGATATGGTTTTCGGATTTTACTGAGTAACTCTGTAATTTTCGTTAAATGCAATTCAGCTACTCCACCTGTGTTCTCGTTCACTACAAACTTATAATAGTTTTAAGCATATCAACTGACGAGCATAACATTAATTTTTATAACAAGATCCTATACATTTGTAAGAAGTCATGGCAGACCTGAGTATTAGTATAGTTTTCACTTGTTATCAAAGCCTTGTTATCTACAATCTTGATGGAATCGGTTAAAATCAATATCATAGAGTGGGTGATACGTTCGGAAAGGTTATCGCTGGTTGGTTTGTGGGTGATTATCTGAAAGACTGAGGTTTTTTTTATACTGATATAGTGTGATGGATACTATGCACGAGGTTGGTCATCATTTGTATGAAGTGGAGTCTCACCTAGGGGTTTCCGAAGTTGTGGTGGTGTTTGGTTCTCTGAGCTGGTTGTTTTGGTTGTGGAGATTTCATTGTTCTTCTACTGAACAGTAACATCATCAGCACAAACTTCAGATAGAAGTGAAACATTCGAATTTCTCCACGTTTGACCTGTAGCTTGTTCTGCTAACCTTAATCTTGATTGGTAGCTGTTGAACTTAAACCTGTCGTTGTTTCTTGATCCTATGTCACCTATGATTTTTCTGATTGGTTGATAAATTGGGTCAATGTCGATGTGTTTGTTGACTGCTAATTGACCTGAGTGCCAAGCTTCTAAAAATTCTCTAGTGTTCTCTTTGTCCTCCCCCTATCCAGTATTTCCACATTGTTCCAATCAAATGTGTGTCCATAATTGTCGGTATGTATTGATATAAGCGAAGCGTTGTCGTGGCGTTTGACTACTAATTGATGTTCACGTAAACAAAACTGAAGGCGGACGTCCACTTTGTCCTATGTAGGGTGTCTTTAACAATCTGAGCACTTGTTTATTTTGTAGATGATATTTGGCTTTTGTTCATTTGTCATTTTGTCCATTGGTCTTTACATAGAGGATTGATTGAAGTGATTCTGTTGGTTTGTGTGCCACATCTATCCTAAATGGTCTCAGTAGTTGTGCTGTATGCTCCGATATGTCTTTGATGTATGGTAGGTAGGATGATCTGTTTATTGGTTCATGTACTTGCTTGATTTCGCTTCTGTTGACGATTTCGGTCAATGTTTTTTGATGAAGTTGCGTGGATAACCGTTCTTTTGGAAGATAGTCATCAGGTGTTGTTCCTCGTTTTTAAGTGCCTCATATATGCTGCAGTGTGTCTTCATTCTCTTGAACAAAGTTTGTATGCAGTTGATTTTGTTGGTTCTTTGGTTGTTGCTATCGTAGTTGAGAATTACGTCTGTGTGGGTTGGCTTCCGAAATACTTGAGTTTCCAGTTTTCCTGCGTCAGTTCTGGTGATTAGTACATCCAGGAATGATGGTTTGTTATTTAACTCCTTTTCTATTGTGAATTTTAAGTCATCAAACACGTTGTTGATCCGATTGTAGGTGTTTCCCAACTCGTTCTTTTTGATAATGACGAATGTATCGTCTACATAGCGAACCCACATTTTTGGTTTGATCACTGGAAAAATCGACGCTTCTAGTCTCTGCTTTACAGCTTCGGCGATGAGTCCTGATTTTGGTGATCCCATTGGTGTTCCTTTTGTTTGTTCGTTGACTCTGTTGTTGAATTGAAAATACGTTGTTAAGTATAGATCGATGAGTTCAAGCAAACTTTAACTCTGAAGCTTTGTATATTTTTGCAGATTTGTGTCGTTGATGAGGAGCAAGGAAAGAGTTTCTTTAGCTAAGCTTGGCTCTGTTGATGTGAATAAGGCTGTTACATCGAAGGATTTCATCGTTTCGTCTTTGTCGATTTGAATCCCGTTGAGTTTATCCAAGAATTGTATGAAAGACCTAATGAAGTAGTTTGGTTCATCCACCAGATGTTTTAATATCCTTGAAATTCCTCTTGATAAATTGTAGGTCGGGGTTCCGGGGATTAGATTACAGAATAAACTTAGTTGAACGATCTATTACATTGTTAACTGTTTTTCCAATCAAGCTTCTGTGCTTAATTGTCACACAGAATAATGAGATACAGTTTTTGATCGATTTCACACAAAAAACATCATATCTAGTTGTCTGAAGCTTCTTTCTCTATGATAATCAATCTGAGATCAAGTTTTGCTTAAGAAAATATCTAAGAAATCCATTTAGATCTTTTAAAGTTGAACTAAGTTTGAATTACGCTGGAATTCTCTTTACAAATGTCCTCACTGAAACATTTTCCCTATTAATACTGAACAATATATATATATTATCTACATTACTGATTGCGTAATTATTTTTCTTAATAAAAAAATTATTAATTTTTTTTGTGTCTTTCTAGATTAAAGTGATTGTTTGTATTAATCAACAAGTTAAAATTAGTCACAACAACAACAACAACAACCTTCATCATCATCATGCCAATCAAGGTCAACTGGTGACCTCCAACCCTGCATCAAATTGTATTCAAATAGATGAGAATAGAAAATTTATTCGATTAATCAATCCAACAGGATTACATCGTAGAAAATCAGTAATAAATAATAGTAGTAATGTTGGTATAAGTAGTATAGTGAAAAATTATAAATTCGATCATATTATCACAAAAGATACAATGAAAGTAAGTTATTGTGATCATTTGAATTTTTGACTGTGTTTGTCTGATAAACTTCTTTGTGTTTTTTTTCAATTACAGTTATGGAGATAAGTTTTTATGTATAATACACGTTGAAATCACATCAGTTCAGGTTTCTAATGATGATGACGATGGTCTAACAATGATTGATTGATTGATGATTTCAAATGTGTAAAAAAACAATGATCAGCATAAGTCTAAATGAAAAAAAATCGTACACTATGCTTACTGGTGATACCCACTAAAGAAGAAGAAGGAGGATTAATCGTGTACTGACCAAATTGCTACATTACGGATCATTGTGGAACAATGATCAATTGAATGGAATTCACCAGTCTACTTCAACTTCATTGACTACGAGAAAGCATTTGATAGCGTGGATAGGCAAACACTGTGGAGGCTTCTTCGACACTATGGTGTGCCTGAGAAAATAGTTAACATCATAGGAATCAACTAAAAAATCGTACACGAAGGATAGCTAACAGACTCTTTCGAGGTGAAGACCGGTGTCAAGCAAGGTTGCTTACTCTCACCCTTTCTCTTTCTCCTGGTCATCAATCCACTGGATTATGAAGACGTCAACATCTGGAGGGAAGCACGGTATCAACTGGACAGTTAGGACGCAGCTGGACGATCTGGACTTCGTAGATGACCTGGCTTTTCTATCGCATACGCAACAACAAATGCAAGAGAAGACGAACAGTGTAGCAGCAGCCTCTGCAGCAGTAGGTCTCAACATACATAAAGGAAGAAGCAAAATTCTCCGATGCAACACAACATGCATCAACCAAATCACCCTTGATGGTGGTGATGCCTTGGAGGACGTTAACACCGCCTTTACATATCTGGGCAGCATCATCTACAACAAAGGTGGATCCGATGCAGATGTGAGGGCGCGGATTGGCAAAGCACTGTGTTGCATTTCTACAGTTGAAAAATATCTGGAACTCCAAACAACTTTCAACCAAAATCAAAAATCACGATGTTCAATACAAATGTCAAGACATTTCTACTGTATGGAGCGGAAACTTGGAGAACTACCAAAGCCATCATCCACAAGATACAAGAGAAGGAAATCAGTAAGAAGCGGTGGAAGTGGATAGGACAAACACTACAAAAAGCACCTAACTGAGCCACAAGACAAGCCCTCATTTGGAACCCCCAGGGCAAAAGGAATAGAGGAAGGCCAATGAACACATTAAACCGAGAAATAGAGAAAGATATGAGAAGAATGAGCAAACATTGGACAGAACTGGAAGTCCAGGACAGAGTTGGTTGGAGAAAACTGGTGGGCAGCCTATGCTCCATTGGGGGTAGCAGGCGTAAGTATGTAAGTAAGTGAGGAAATTCTCGGAGTTCCAGTGAGAAGATGTGAGTAGTGGAGTTCATCAACCCTGTCGGGTATAGGCAGTAACTACCAAAGTCAAATGGGTGAGGTCAGAGTTAGACATTGATACCTTGGGTGCCGATCCAGTGGTCCAGAGTTTAGGCGTTCGCACTCAAGACCAGAGGATCTTTGTTCGAATCCTGGTGTAGAAGTATGCTAGAATGAAGCTAGAGGTGACCGAACCGAAATGGGGCACAAATTCATTAAGTCAATGACAACTAATATGATATGGAAATTTTAAATGATATACGTACGTACCGAGTTCTATGTGGCATATGACTTACTGAGTCTTTTTAATGTGTTCATAGAATTTTTACCGGTTGAAATTGTAACTGAATCAATAATGTGAGTTATTTAAAAATGAATGTATGATGTTGAGATGTTAAGTGGTGAGATGAAGTCAACACAGATCTGACCGTTAAATAAAATTAAAGTCGGTAAAACAAAACTGATTGATTGTCTACTGAAATTTCATTAATTTTAAAGTTTTGTAGATATTGTTAGTCAAATTCAATAGTGAATTCTCACGTTCTGTTGATTTTCTGTTGTCGTGAACTGGCTTATTTTAAACATTTTCTAAAACTGTTCAGTGTTCAATATTGAATGTAGTCATTCAATTGTGAATGAATAGGAATTCACTTAGCAAAGGACGAGTGTACTGCTCAGTAGTTCACTTCGTTCTCTTATATGGTTGCGAAGTATGCCCGGTAAGAGTAGAAGCTATTCGTAAGTTACTAGTATTTGATCATAGATGTCTTAGAAACATTGCTCATGTATCGTGGGACAATTGAGTAAGCGATGCTGCCATTGGGAAGCGAGTACTAGGTAAGGATGGCAGATCAACAGATGAAGTGATGTAACTTCATCAGTTGAGTTGGTTGGGACATGTGTTACGAATGCCTAACCACCGACTGCCTCGACGAGCTATGTTTTGTGGTGTAGGAGGAGGTTGGAAGTAAGATAGGGGTGAAAAAACCGCAACATATCACAAATCCATGAAGTCACTGACAAGTGTAATGAGTCATGTTGGTAGATGTAGGCTATCTGGTTGGGGTCCGTGAGATGATAATAATCGATGGTTAGAGACCTTGAATGATATGGCTCAAAACCGTCTGCTATGGCGCCGGTGCATTTATTCTTTGTGTTCTCTCAAATCCTAATCTTCTGAATTCTTCAACTCCTCTAGTTTTGACTTTCTAAACTTATCTCACTGAATTATACTTCTTCAACAATATCTTGGGACCCTAATCATCTCGTTTACCAGTAGTACTTCTACTATTACTACTACTATCGGATTTCAATTGACAATTACATCTCTGTGCTAATATGGTATGGAAACATGCACTGATGTACATACGTACGAAGTTCTACGTTGAAACTGACTGACTGACTAGCAGAGATTCACTCTAGAATTTTTTTGTATCGTCTCATATATTTTCTCATTTAAAACAAAAATAACTAATTCATAATAAACACACCTTTCAAATAATTTTTTTGTATCGTCTTTTTTTATTTTTCAAAAATCAAAAATCAAAAAAATACAATTTGTAGCGTGAATTTTATTCAATCGCTCTTAATGATGCTTTAAAAGCAGTGTTAAATGGAAAAGATAGTTGTATTTTAACTATTGGACATAAAGCTACCGGTAAGTTGTTCTGTTTTTGGTTTTAAAGTATTGAAAACCGGGGGGGGGGGGGACGATTCGACTGTACAGACATCTTGATGATGATGATGATGATGAAATCTAGGTTGTTAGGTTTGTGAAAGTGTTATGCTCGTCACTAGATAAACTTGAAACTATTACAAGTTCATCTTAGTCGATAAACAGGAACGAGACAATGAACTAGCGTTCAGGTAGGCTATGCTGATCCGATGACTAACCAAAAGTCTTGATATAGAGTAGAAAGTATATTCTACAAACACCCAGCAAGCACAATACAATCAAGCACACAAAAATCTCGTTTATTTATACATCATAGAAACATCCTTGGGGGATGTTAGATCCCCAAAACTCGCCTGTTAAATGCCGTATTTTGGATTTCACGTTTGCGAGCATGGGCTGATCAGTTGACCTTAGAGATTTCATTTCCCAACAGGAAAATCCATGTCTGTGATTGGCTGCTGTGTATTTTATTAGTGTGCTATTTTCGTAACTGTCCCAATGACGTTTCTATGATGTATAAATAAACGAGAGTTGTATACTTGATTGTATTGTGTGATTGATGGGTGTTTCTAGAATATACTTTCTAAGCCTATAAAGCCTTTTTTCTTCAGCCTGTGGGTTCAAGGTAGCCTACCTGGACGCTGGTTCATTGTCTCATTCGCGTTTATCGACTAAGGTAAACTCGTAATAGCCTCAAGCATACTAAGTGACGAACATAACATTATACATCATAGAAACGTCCTTGGCAGAGTCCCAAAAAATAGCACACACTGAAATAACACATCAACCAATCATAGCCAAGAATTCTCCAGGTGGGAATTGTGTGATCTCAAGGTCAACTGATCAGCCCATGAATAAAATCCAAAATTAACACCTTTATCAAGTGAGTTCTGGGGATCTAATATCCCCGACAGAAATTTATCGATACTGTGTGAATATTTAACTAACACAGTAATGACCACTTTGTTGATCTCAACATGTAACCACAACGCTGTCATGAGCTCGATCATATACAATGTTTGTATGATGTTAACTTTTGACACATCTTATCAGTCAGAGTGATAAGTGACTTCTGCTGATTCAAAACTTTTCCCTATGCGCATTATTCTGCATGTGAGTGTATAACATTGTTAAGCATTCCTTTAAAATTGTTTGTTACAAAGACAGAATTGATCAAAAATCTAAAGAATTAACAAGTCAATAATTTCTGTTTGAATTACCGCTTAAAATATATAAATTTTAAACAAGAGTTTCTTTTTTTCAACTTTGCTTGAATGATCTTTACATAGTTGTAATTATATCGATCGAGTTGTGTAATGTGTCTGTTGATGTAAGTAAGTCAACTGAAATCATCTAGGTTATAGAGGTTTCTTATAGATTTCTTCTATTCACTTGAACAGTTAAACATATATGTCAGAATGAATAGCTGTTATTATGTAACCATGAATCGATCAATGTTAGACCACCATTAGAAACCTGGAAGAACTGGACGGCCGTTTCGTCCTGGTATGGGACTCGTCAGCAGTGCGCATCCACGACTACTGCACCCCGCAGGACTCGAACCCAGGATGCTCGGTATTGTGCTCGAACGCCCTAACCGTTAGACCACTGAGCCGTCTAACTTGATCAAATTCACGGAGTTGCGCAACCTCATACCCTGTATACATCCGAACAGCTTTGAACTTCACTGGTCACGACTTCCCACTAGAACTCGGAGAAGATTCCTCACCAAGCTAGTCACTAGTGGACACGTGTAATTGCATTGTGGGGTTGTTGTGAAGATTGTTAAGTTTTATTTGTAACCATGGGTTTGAATCCTGTGGGGGGCAGGAGTCGTGGATGTGCACTGCTGATGAGTCCCATACCAGGACGAAGCGACCGTCCAGTGCTTCCAGGTTTCTAATCGTTGTCTAACATTGATCGATGCATGGTTACAAATAAAACGTAACAATCTTCACAACAACCCCACAATGTTATTATGTAATCGGAAGCTTAAAACGTTAGCATCCTTTCGATTAGGCGATCAGAGTTTCTGGTTACTTGCGACCAATCATTGCCTGGAGGGACTCAGTATCAATCATTTGCAGTAAAATATTAAAATCAATGATATAATTGTTACGCCTGCACATAAACACGTCAACTTGATATACTTGGAACTATTACGAGTTTACCTAGTCGGAAAACTAGAGCGAGGATCGAGGATCCGGCGACACGACATGCTACTCAAATCCGATTATCCCAACTCCCATATTCAGTGAAAATAAGAAGACATGATATGAAGTAGAACCTGTATTCTACAAGCATCCAGAAAGCACGAGGTCGGAGTCCCGAAGAGAAATGGGATCCCGGACTAGGGACCCGTGTGCGGGTCATAAAACGTTACAGATCATGAGTATTTATACATTTTGGTCGAATAGGAAACAGCATCGAAGTCTGTGACATTGACAGTTAAGACGACCAATAGGAAGCAACATTTGTAGTGACATTGATAGTCAGGACACAACCAATAAGAAACAACATTGGAGCACGTGACATTGATATCTACTAGGAAGACCATAAAATTGACCAATAGGAATGAACCAATAAGAATTGACCAATAATTCTCTTAGGATATTGGATGAATATCCTAACAATACCATCATAATCCAGACCGTAGTTGCCACCTTGACATGGTGGTCGGGCTTGCCTATCGTGATGACCCAACCGAGCTATATTGGCTGGAACATATGTTCCTGAAGGTTCTACCATACCAGGCAGGTCGATTGGAGAACGATGAGACTAAAAGCAGTAGTTCGCTCCGTCTTACTTTATGGCTGTGAAACATGGCCAGTGAGAGTAGAAGATATTCGTAGGTTACTGGTTTTCGATCATAGGTGTCTTTGAAGCATTGCTCGTATATCCTGTGACACCCGAGTGAGCAACGCTGTCATTAGGAATCGGGTGCTAGGTACCAATGAAAGATCAATAGATGAAGTGATGAAACTTTATCAGTTGAGGTGGTTGGGACATGTGCTGCGTATGCCCAATCACCGACTGCCTCGACGAGCTTTGTTTTGTAGTGTAGGAATAGGTTGGAAGAAAGTTAGGGGCGGCCAAACCAAAACATGGCAGAAATCCATGAAGTCATTGACAAGTGGATTGAGTCATGTCCGTAATTTTCGACTACCTGGTTGGGGTCCACGAGATGATAATAATCGATGGTTAGATACCCTGAATGACATGGCTCAAAATCGTTCGCAATGGCACCGGTGCATTTATTCTTTGTGTTCTCTCAAATCCTAATCTTCTGGATTCTTCAACACCTCTAGTTTTGACTTTCTTAACTTTTCTCACTGAATCTCACTTCTTGAATAATATCTTTTAATTCTAACCTCTCCGATTACTTTTAATACCTTTACTACCTCTTCTACTATTGGATTAGAATTGACAATTATATCTCTGTGCTACGTGCTACATACGAAGTTCTACGTTGCATCTGACTGACTGACTGACCATCATTACACCATTGTTCGCTGATCCAATCTCACTGTTCAATTGTCAATCAACTGTTAATTCTTATTTCAATTTTGCAGCATGAAACATGTTTTTTTTTCTAAAATATCGTTTCTTTTTTTATCGTCAATAGAATAAAATTTAAAAAAAAAAAAGAAAACAGCACTAATGTGTTTTGTTTAAAAATTACTGTTCAATTGTTCATTCAATGTACAATATTTTTTTAATATTCAGGTAAAACACAATCAATGATTGGTTATGATGATTATTCATCCAATGAATATGGTATTATTCCATACGGTATAAGTTGGTTATATCAATTATTGAATTATCAAAAACGCCAATATAATACAAGATTTTCTATAAGAATATCAGCTGTAGAAATTACTGGATTAAATGAAGAATTTCATGATCTGTTAGCAAATACAAAAGTATCATGTAAGTATTATGTAATTACTTATTATTATTAGTAGTATTGTGGTGTGAGCTACTTATGAGTAGTATATGACGTGAGTGTCGGTCAATGTAATGTCTGGCAGCAGAAGATGGGGGGGGGGGAAGATCAAGAAAGAAAGGAGGAAGAGTTAGAAGTACACAATGGAATTTGTATGAAATAGCATGAGTAGTGAGTGACAATGGATTGTTGATGTCTTGCAACAGGAACAGTCCAGTTCTATATGATGAACTGATATTTTGCAAATGAACGCAAATGAACCACATTTTTCTTATGTCATGAATGTTGTTTAGGAAATGGAGAGAACAAAAGCGAATGTCTGACAGACGTTTGAACTGGATTGATGAGTTTGGCGGATTTATTTAGAGGAATAAGAATACTTTGATGCCAAACCAAGGGTATACACATAGTCTCCAGGATCCTGAGGGAATAATTGACGTTTGAATCTAATGCTTACTTACTTACTAACTAACGATTGTTACCCCTAATGGAGCATAGGTCGCCGACCAGTTTTATCCAACTAACTCTGTTCTGGGCTTCCCTTTCCAGTTCTGTCCAATGTTTGTTCATTCTTCTCATGTCTTTCTCTATTTCTCGGCGTAATGTGTTCCTTGACCTTCCTCTTTTCTTTTTACCTTGAGGGTTTCAAGTGATGGCTTGTCTTGTGATGCAGTTTGGTGTTTTCCGTAGTGTGTGTCCTTTCCACTTCCACCGTTTCTTACTGATTTCCTCCACTTGTATCCTGTGGATGATGTCTTTGGTAGTTGTCCAAGTTTCCGCTCCATACATTAGAATTATCTTGATATTTGTATTGAAAATCCTGATTTTGGTTTTGGTTGAAAGTTGTTTGGAGTTCCAGATATTTTTTCAATTGTAGAAATGCAGCCCTTGATTTGCCAATCCGTGCCCTCACATCTGCATCGGATCCACCTTGGTTGTCGATGGTGCTGTTCACTGGCTATTATGGAATTGCATGTTCTGACACTACTACATTACCTTATGATTAGACCTGTAGGTGAGAAGTTGTTTGAGTGTTATCCAAAGGGAACCACTATATGTTTCTGTTTTTGCAGCCATGATCAAGAATCGAAACGAGAGCCTTTGGTCTCGCGCCGTCGATACCTTTGGATGCCGGCTTAATGGTCTAGAGATTAAGTGGTTCGCGCGATAGACGGATGGTCCTGGGTTCGAATCTGTTAGCTTTGTCACTAGATATGCTTGAAACGATTACGAGTTCACTTTAGTCGATAAACAAGAACAAAACAATGAACCAGCGTCCAGGTGGTCATCCTGATCCGATGACTAACCAAAAAGTCTTGATATAGCGTAGAAGGTATATTCTACAAAAACCCAGCTAGCCCACAATGAATCAAGCACACAAATCTCGTTTATTCATACATCACAGAAACGTCCTTGGGACAGTCACAAAAATAGCACACTAAAATACACATTAACCAATCACAGCCAAGGATTTTCGTGGTGGAAAATGAAATTTCTAGGTCAACTGATCAGCCAATGCTTGCAGACGTATAATCCAAAATTAAGGCATTTATCAAACGAGTTCTGGGAATCTACCGTCCCCAACAGGATCCTACGAGTAACGGGAGTCGTGGATACGCGCACTGCCACTGATGAATCCCATACCAGGTTAGAAACGATCGTCTTTCAGTACATTTAAGTTTCTGATGATGGTCTAACAATGATTCTTTCATGATTTTTAAATGTAAAAATAAATCAAAATTGTATATTCCCCCTTTCATTTCAGATGATGAAGAATATTGTGATAAATCACCAAGTCATTATTTACAAACTACATCACAGAAATCAACGCAACGTAAAAATCTCAACACATCAATGTACATGAATAAAACTAATAATTTAAATGGGAATTTTGATAAGACACAAATAATTTCTACACAAATGATTAGCAATTTATCTAATCTATGTGAATTACGTGCATCGACAGCAGAAAAAGCTGCTTATCTACTTGATATAGCATTATCAAATCGTACAGTGCATCAATGTAACAATTTATCTGGTTTATCACATATGTTATTTACTATACATTTATATCAATGTAAATTAGAGAATAATAGTAGTGAAATGAGTAGTAAGTTGATGTTTATAAAATATTTTTTTTTAATGAGTATTTTTTTATAAGTTTTTAGTCAGTCGGTTAGTTATGGGGAAGAACTTCTTATCTTGCTGTGTATATGAGTTCAGGTTGCCATACTGCATTAGCACACACAGAGGGACGTAATTGTCAATTCAAATCGCATACTGGTAGAGATTGTGTGGTGTGAGCTACTTATAAGTAGTATATGACGTGAGTGTCAACGTAATGTATGACAGTAGAAGATGGGGGCAAGATCAACAAAGAAAGAAGAGTGGGAACACAATGGAATTTGTATGAAACACATGAATAGTGAGTGACAATGGATTGTTGATGTTTTGCAACAGGAACAGTCCAGTTCGATAATATGATGAACTGATATTTTGCAAATGAACGATTTACGATATGGTTTTCCAATTTTACTGAGTAACTCTGTAATTTGCGTTAAATACAATCCGGTTGCCCTCACCTGTGTTCTCGTTCACTACAGGTGTATTAGGGGTCGAAGATATTATTCAGGAAGTATAGTTGAGTGAGATAACATTAGTAAGAGAAAGATAGAGATGATGAGCAAATCTGAAGATTAGAGTTTGAGAGAACACAATGTATGAATGTCTCTAACCATCTGCTACTGTCGTCTTGAGGACCCGAACCAGGTAGTCGTGAAAGAAGGAGTCGCACGGTCAGAAGAGGAAAACGGAAAGCAAAGGGAGCAAAAGCAAGAAGTGAATGGAGTACCAACAGAGGAAGGAAAGGAAGCAACAGCAGGAATGCAAGAAGGATGGAGCGTTGGAAGTCAAGACTCGAAGATGGTGTGCGAACAGAGTGTTCAATGTAATGTTTTCGTTTTTAATTGACTCAGAGTGTAAACTTGCATAAGACAATCTTCAGCGCCTGTCTCAGTTATCTCAGTAGCATTGGACGGCTGTTTCATCCTATTATGGGACTCATCAGCAGTGATCCAGAGGTTAGGTATTCTCATGCAAGACCAAAATTTCTATGTTGGAATCCTGCGAGCAACAGGAGTTGTGGATGTGCACTGCCAGTGATGAGTCCTATATGAGGACGAAACGGTCATCCACTGCTTTTAGGTTTCTTCTGAAGATCAGAAAATGACTACTTCATGATTTCAATGTATAACAATCAATAGTTTTAATTGCTGATTGATAAAAACCATAATTCATTTAAACCAATCACAAATAACCTATATTTCTAATTCATTATCTTATATCATAAAACAAATTATCTCTATTCTTAATTAGTTTCTGGTGGTCGAACAAAATTCCATTTTCTTGATTTGGGTTGTGGACGATATGGACAACATCATTTAATTCATACAAATGCATCTATAGAGTTAACACAGAACAATCACAGCAGTTCTACTGATCATTCAATGTTCAATAAACAGGAAACTACTTCTTCTACTACTACTACTACAAACCATTCAATGTCCAATCATACAACAACAACTCATCATGAACAAGATGAAAAACCAACTGAACATAGAACATTATCAAAAGCTCTTTCATTATCTGGTATTGGTAGTGTTCTATTAGCATTATTAACAGGTCGACGTCAATTACCATATTCTAATTCAGCATTAACTTATTTATTACGTGAAGCTATTATTAGTGGTAATCAAATCCAGCCGTGTATTTTAGCGCATATATCTGATAATGTACAATATTATACAGAGACATTACAGGTTAGTTTGTAGTATGGTTTTATTGGTTTATTACGTGAAATCCGATCGATATTATATAATAACTGTTACGTTTTTGTCAATTATTGGTACACTTGAAGCTGATTACGAGTTCAGCTTAGTTGATAAACGTCAAAGAGACAATGAACCAGCGTCCAGGTCAGTCAGTCAGTCAGTCAATTACAACATAGAACTTCGTACATGAGTACATAAGTTCAGGTTACCATACCGCATCAACACAGAGACGTAACTGTCAGTTCAAATCCAATAGTAATAGCTATAATAGAATTATTAGTAGTAATGGAGAAGATTAGGGTTAGAAGATATGATTCGAAAAGTATAATTCAGTGAGATAAATTTATAAAAAGAAAGATAGAGATGATGAGAAATTTAGGATGTTAGAATTTGAGATAACACAATGAATGAATGCACCTGCGACTTTGTAAACGATTTTGAAACATGTCGTTTAATGTCTCTAACCATCGGTTGCTATCGTCTTGCGGACCCCAACCAGGTAGCCTACATCTGCCAACATGACTCAGTCCATTGGTCAGTGACTTTATGGATTTCCGCCATGTTTTGGTTTGGCCGTCCCTAACTTTCTTCCAACCTATTCCTACACCACAAAACATTAGCTCGACGAGGCAGTCGGTGGTCGGGTAGACGGACAGACAGATACAACGCAGAACCTCGTACGTATGTACATCATTTCAGGTTGCTATGCCTCATCAACACAGAGGCTCAACTATCAGTTCGAATCCAACAGTGATTGCAATAATAGAAGTATTAGTAGTAATGGAGAAGATTAGAGTTCGAAGATATGATTCGAAAAGTATAATTCAGTGAGATAAATTTAGAAGAAGAATAGTAGAGATTATGAGGAATGCAGAAGCTCATAACCAGCGTCCGGGTAGGCTATCTTGAATACCAAACTGCAAAATAGAAGATGTGGTAGGCGTAGAAAGTATATTATACAACACTCAGAAATCAAACAATACAATCAAGCACACACAACTCTCGTTTGTTTATACATCATAGAAACGTCCTTGTGACAGCTACGAAAATAGCACACTAAAATACACGGCATCCAATCACAGCCATGGATTTTCCTGATGTGAAGTGTGTGATCTCAAGGTCAACTGATCAGCCCATGCTCGCAAACGTGCAATCCAAAATAAAGCATTTATCAAGAGAGTTCTTGGGATCTAACATTCCCAACAAATACTAACTGACTTACTTATGCCTGTTATGCCTAGCGAAGCATAGGCCACCGACTAGTGAATTAGTTTTCTAGTTAGCGTGTTTTTTTTTCTGGCGATTTGGATTTCTATGGGATGGGGTCACTAACTGCATATACCCAACCCTTATCCTTTATTCACGGGCTTGGGACTTTCGGTAACCCTAGAAGGACTCCAGATGGAGTTTGAACATACAATAAGCTTAGTGATAATATTTAGAAGAAGAGCATACAAGAGAATGTTTAGATTTTTGGCAACCTTCTATCATATTGATCGGTATTGGATAAAAGTAACTCAATACGTAGGTTGTATCTAGTATTTTCGTTCGGTTTGTCTCGTTTTTTTATCAGTTTGAAGAGTACTACTTATTCGTGAAACACTTCATTACAATGCCCAAAATACATGATTATCGGGTATAGTCAATCAGTTACAACGTGGACTTTCGCATGTACGGACATTAATTCAAGTTGTCATACCACATTAGCACACAGAGAGATTAAATTGTCAATTCGCATCCAATGGCAATAGAGGTAGTAGAAGTATTAGCCAGTAATGAAGAAGATTAGGGTTCAAAGAAATGATTTAAGAAGTATGAATGCAGTGAAATAAATTTAAAAAGAGGGAAATAAAAGTATTGAGGATTTCATAAGATTAGAATTTTGAGAGAACACAAAGAATGGACGCCTCTGCGCTATTACAAACGATTTTAAGCCATATCATCCTGTGGTGCGAGCTGCTTTTAAGTAGTATATGACGTGGGTGTCGGTCAACGTAATGTCTGGCAGCAGAAGATGGGGGAAGATCAAGTAAGGAAGAGTTAGAACACAATGGAATTTGTATGAAACGCATGAATAGTGACAATGGATTGTTGATGTTTTGCAACAGGAACAGTCCAGTTTGATAATAAGATGAACTGATATTTTGCAAATTAACGATTTACAATATGTTTTTCTGATTTTACTGAGTAACTCTGTAATTTTCGTTAAATACAATTCGATTGCCCCACCTGTGTTCTCGTTCACTACAATCCGAAGTCTCTAACCATTGAATACACCAACTCAAAACAATACACAAGGTCAAAACAAAATATAACATCTCTTATGAAAATTACACTCTCATATAAGATAACATGTCAATATCAAGTTACCTGTTAGATTGATGACCACATGATAATCTGGTTAGTAGAATTCGGTCAACACTAAGTGACAGCTGACTCAGATAACATTGGTCATTAATCACTGATTGGTTAGTTGAAAATAGAGTTCGTTTTTAAAGAAAAAATGACCGTAACTATTAGATACAACAATATTTTCATTATAGGGTTTTGAAGAGTGTTGAGTTACGTTCTGATATCATAAATCGATCAATGTTAGACTGTCATTCGATACTTGGAAGCAATAGATGGCTGTTTCGTTCTATTATGGGACTCATCAGTGGTAGTGAGTATCTACGACATACGCTACTTGCAGCAATCGAACCTACGGTGCTGCGCGCCAGCTCTTAACCTCTAGAACACTGAGATAGTAGGCATCCAACGGTGTTCTATCAATCCATAGTCTTGCTCAACCTTGTCCACTGTCTTCGGTAAGCACTGGTACACAGGTTAAGCTGTCGAGGGTTGTGAAGATTGTTGAGTTACATTTTGAAATCATAAATTAATCAATGTTAGACCGTCGTTAGAAACTTGGAAACAATAGAAGCCTGCTTCGTTCTAGTATGCAACTCATCAGTGGTGTGCATCCATGACTCCTGCTAGTAGCAGGAGTCGAACCTGGGACCTTCGTTCTTACGAGTGAACACCTAATCTCTGAACCACTGAGGCAGCAGCAGTTTTAATATCTAACTTTATTCAATACACGGTCTTAGGCAACCTCATCCATTGTGTTTGGTGAGCACTGGTTCAGAGGTTAAGCATTTGTGCGTTCTGGGTTCGATTCCTGCGAGTGTCGGTAGTCGTAGTTGTTCACTGCTATTGATGAGTCCCATACTAGGACTCATCAGTAGTAGCGCGACAACTCTTAGCCTCTGGAACACTGAGATAGTAGGCATCCAACGGTGTTCTATCAATCCATAGTCTTGCGCAAACTCATCCACTGTCTTCGGTGAGCACTGGACACAGAGATTAAGCGTTCGTGCGCAAGAATGAAGGTCCTGGGCTTGATTCTCGCGAGTACTGTAAGTCGTAGGTGCTCAGTGTCACAGATTCATCCCATACTAAGACGAAACGGCTATCCGGTGCTTCCAGGTTTTTGATGGTGGTCTAACAATGATTCATTCATTCATGAATATATTTTTTTTCTGGTTTTTTTTGTTCGACAGATTTTACAACTAGCCTCTGAAATTAATCGATTGAAACGTCGTAAAATCACCGCCAATCATAATCCTCCTCCCCCTCCTCCTCCTCTTCATCATCATCATCAAACACCCGGAGAAATGGACGACTCATCAAATTCATCAACCATAAATACCACCGACACAGAAGATTATCAATCGAAACTGTCATCATCATGTCATTATACTAAAAAACAGCTGTTATACAGACAACCTAAACTTGGACGATTATCTTATCAACATAAGGCTAAATTATTTGGATCTTGCAATTCAGAATTAGATTATCATACATCAAGTGGTGAACAATCGTGTGATACAGTGATTTATCTTGGTCATAATAAATCAATACAAAGTCAATATCGTTTAAATGATGATAGTCGAATGTTGAATAAGCTGAATTCTATGGAAAAATTAGAATCAAGAGGATTAGCTGATGGCAGAGTAGATAGTATAGATAAATTGTATGATTGTAAAGGCGAAGAATCATTTAAATCATTTGCCGATTTGAATAATAATAATCATATTGATGCATTTAAACAAAAAAATTCTATGGATCAGGTAAGATTATGAATAGTAATAATAATAATAATAATAATAATAATAATAATAATAATAATAATCAGTCAGTCAGATGCAACGTAGAACTACGTACGTAAGTAAATCAGTTCATGTTGGCATACCAAATTAGCACACACAGAGATGTAATTGTCAATTCAAATCCAATAGTAGAAGAGGTAGTAAAGGTATTAGAAGTAATCTGAGAGGATAGGATTAGAAGATATTATTCAAGAAGTATGATTCAGTGAGAAAAGTTTAGAAAGTCAAAACTAGAGGTGTTGAAGAATCCAGAAGATTAGGATTTGAGAGAACACAAAGAATAAATGCACCGGCGCCATTAGAAACGATTTTGAGCAACGTCATTCAGAGTATCTAACCATCGATTATTATCATCTCGTGGACCCCAACCAGGTAGTCGACAATTACCGACATGACTCAATCCACTTGTCAATGACTTCATGGATTTCTGCCATGTTTTGATTTGGCCGCCCCTAACTTTGTTCTAACCTATTCCTACACTACAAAACAAAGCTCGACGAGGCAGTCGGTGGTTAGGCATACGCAACACGTGTCCCAACCACCTCAACTGATGAAGTTTCACCACTTCATCTATTGATCTACCATCCTTACCTAGTACTCGTTTCCTAATAACAGCGTTGCTCACTCGAGTGTCCCACGATATACGAGCAATGCTTCGAAGACACCTATGATCGAATACCAGTAACCTACGAATATCTTCTACTCTCACTGGCCATGTTTCACAGCCATAAAGTAAGACGGAGCGAACTACTGCGCAGTACACTCGTCCTTTAGTCAGCAAACGGATATCTCGCCTACGCCATAAGTGACGCAGGTTGGCAAAAGCCAATCGAGCCTTCTGTATTCGTGCTGAGATTTCTTCAGTCATCAGGCCATCAGTACTGATGAGACTCCCAAGATAAGTGAAGCTGTCTACACGTTCGACTACTTCACTCCTTATCACTAGTTGAAGTGCCGATGCAACCCAATCTTGAAGCAACAGTTTGCATTTCGAGGGTGAGAATCGCATCCCGAACATGCTTGCATTGTTGCTTAGGGTGGTCAGAAATAATAATAATAATAGCATGGCAGTTATGCAATCGATCATTGTTAGACCATCATTAGAAAGAAATCTAGAAGCACTGGATCGGTGTTTCGTCCTAGTACGGGACTCATCAGTAGCAATGAGCATCCAGAATCTTCGTTGATGGGAGTTGAACCCACGAATTACGGTCAGGATAGAGCGGTAATCATTTCCAACTTTTACTGATCCATGATCTTGCGCAACCTCACTCACTGTTTTCAGTAATCACTGTTTCACACCCGACAGGGATGAACTCCACTGGTTACATCTTCTTACTAGAACTTGGAGATAACTTCCTCACGAAGCTAGTCATCAGTGAGTATATGGTCATTTACACTACAGGGTTGTGGAGATTGTTGAGTTGTATTGACATCATGATATGAGTTCTATCCTAGAACGAAACGACAGTCTACTGCTTTCAGGTTTCTAATCGTTGTCTAACAATGATTGATTCATGATTTTAATGAAATAAATGTCTACAGTGGATATATACAATGATTGTTATTCTTTTTGGGAATGAAAGTTGAGGAAAGGTACTGTAGTGAAGGAGAACACAGGTGAGGGTAACCGAATTGTATTTAACGAAAATTACAGGAAAACCATATCGTAAACGGTTAATTTGCAAATCTTCAATCCATCATCAATCCATTGTCTGACATTTCACTTATTCATGCGTTTCATACAAATTCCATTGTGTTCTTCTAACTCTTCCTTTCTTGATCTTCCCCCATCTTCTGCTGCCAGACATTACGTTGACACTCCCGTCATATACTACTTATAAGTAGCGCGCAACACAGTACAACCGTGAGTGGGAAAAATGCTCTCGTATGATCACGTGTATATATAGTCACTGCCGACGAACTCTTACTCGATACATTCTCACAGGAGGGCTTTTGGTTTCAATGTCCAACAGACTCTTAGACTGGGTAGCTGAGTTTGAAGGATCCACTTAGGAGAGGGGGTTGTTTGAAAAATCCCGACTCGAAACCAATGGTACACATAGGTTCCAATTTCCTGAAAGGAATAAATGACAACGTTTGAACCTATCATGGTACTGCATCTTCTGACACTTCTTCACTACCTTGTGTATTAGATAATATTGATGAAAAGCTCTGTTAGTGATAGCCTACTAAAACGACATACCACCGTTCAATTAACCGATCAATATCTCATCCCATACACACACGATCAAATGATTTGTGTAGCGCACAAATTGTTAGATGCCAGTTCCTTAATCAATATTTTTATGTTACTTACTTACTTACGCCGCCCACCAGTTTTCTCCAGCCCAGTCTGTCTTGGGCTTCCCTTTCCAGTTCTGTCCAATGTTTGTTCATTCCTCTCATATCTTTCTCTATTTCTCGGCGTAGTGTGTTCCTTAGCCTTCCTGTTTTCCTTTTCCCTTGAGGGTTCCATGTGAGGGCTTGTCTTGTGATGCAGTCAGGTTCTTTTCGTACTGTGTGTCCTATCCACTTCCACCACTTCTTCCTCATTTCCTCCTCCACTGGAGAAATCTGGTTTGTTCTCTCGCACAGTTCGTTGTTGCTGATAGTGTCTGGCCAACTAATCCGAAGTATTTTGTATAGACAACTGTTCATAAACACTTGTATCTTCTGGATGATGGCTTTGGTAGTTGTCCAAGTTTCCACTTCATACAGTAGAACTGTCTTGACATTTGTATTGAAAATCCTGATTTTGGTTTAGGTTGAAAGTTGTTAGGAGTTCCAGATATTTTTCAATTGTAGAAATGTAACCCTTGCTTTGCCAATCCACGCCCTCACATCTTTATCGGATCCACCTTTCTCGTCGATGATGCTGCCCAGATATGTAAAGCTGTTAACGTCCTCCAAGGCATCTCCATCAAGAGTGATTTGGTTGGTGCATGTTGTGTTGCATCGTAGAATCTTACTTTTCCATTTATATATGTTGAGACCTACTGCTGCTTCTGAGGCTGCTGCTACACTGGTGGTCTTCTCTTGCATTTGTTGTTGCGTGTGCGATAGAAGAGCCAAGTCATCTGCGAAGTCCAGATCGTCCAGCTGCGTCCTAATTCAAACCATATTTTTATGTATTTCAACAAAAAAAACGATAATAAAATAAACTATATTAAGAACAGGAATTTTAGAATCCTACACAAGCAAGCCTAACACACAAACAATACATCTATCTATCTACACAGCAACAGTTAGCAAGCAATACAATGTCAACTTATCTTTAGAATATCTATTCTAATAAGTCACTATTTTATTTATCTCATTTTGCACAATGTTTTACAATATTTTTTGTTTATTTAAACAAAAAAAACAGAATAATCATTATTGTACATTAAAACATATAATATATATACACGTGTTTAAACAAGCCAAAGGTCATCATCATCATCATCATTACACATGAATATTGAGCGTTGAACATTGAACATTGAACTTCTTTTTATTATGTTCAAGAATTCCCCGCTGTGTTTAAAACAAATAATTATTACAAGAATAAAGATTTATCTATATAGTAGTAGTAGTAGTAGTAGTAGTAGTTACTAGCTTAAGTCAATAATAATTAAAACAATTTTTTTTACTAGTTATTTGAACAAGAAAAAAAAATCACTTATTTATTTGAATGATGGAAGATAGATTTTAAAATATTGTCAGTCAGTCAGTTGCAACGTAGAACTACGTACGTATGTACATAAGTTCAGGTTGTCACACGACTTTAGCACAGAGACGCAAATGTCAAAACGAATCCCATAGTGATAAACATAGTAAAGGTTTTAATGGTAATGAAGAAGACTAGGGTTTGAAGATATTATTATTCAAGAAGTATAATTCAGTAAGATAAGGTTAGAAAGACAAAGGTAGAGGTGATGACGAATCCAGAAGATTAGGATTTGAGAGAGCTCAAAGAATGGATGCACTTGTGCCATTGCAAACGATTCTGAGCCATGTCATTCAAGGTCTCTAACCATTGGTGACTTTCGTCTCGCGGACCCCAACCAGGTAGCCTACATCTATCAACATGACTCAGTCCACTTGTCAGAGATTTCATGGATTTGTGCCATGTTTTGGTTTGACGGCCCCTAACTTTCTTCCAACCTACTCCTACACCACAAAATATAGCTTGTCTAGGCAGTCGGTGGTTAGGCATTCGTAACACATGTTCCAACCACCTCAACTGATGAAGTTTCAATACTTCATCTATTGATCTGCCATCCTTACCTAGCACCCGTTTCCTCACAACAACATTGCTTACTCGGTTGTCCCACGATATACGAGCAATGCTTCTAAGACATCTATGATCGAATACTAGCAACCTACGAACATCTTCTACTCTTAATGGTCATGTATCGCATTCAAATAGGACAACGGAGCGAACTGTTGCGCAGTACACTCGTCCTTTGGTATGTATATGTATATGTGGTGGCCGATGTATCACTAGTGATTTCGTGACGGTTGATATTCAACGTATTCTTAGTCTTTGTAATTTGCTGGTCTAGGCAATCGTCGTGACCAAATAGCGCCTGACGGTTATAAATCAGAAGGTGAACACGAGAGGTTGACTGCATTTATTTTCGACACACCACAAAAAGGACCATCACACCACAAATAAATTTAACATTGAACCGCGTTCGTCACCACTTATGATTAGAATTTGGAGAAATTTCTTCACGGATTTAATCACCAGTGTCCACACTGTAATTTTCATTTAGTGGTCTTGAGATTAAGCTCTGTTGTGTGTGAGAATGGTGGTTCTGGGTTGGATTCCGGCAGGTAGATGTCGTGTACGCACACCACTGATGATTTCCATACTAAGATAAAAACAGAAGTCCAGTGTTTCCAGGTTGCTATATTACATTAACTCAAAGAGATCAAATTGTCAATTTAAATCCTGTATTAGTTGAGATAGTTGCAGTATTAGCGGTAATGAAGCAGAAATAAAGGTCATGAAGAATTCCAAGGCTTTGGGATGTAAGAGAATGGATGTGTCTACATTATTGCAAACGATTTTCCTCCCCAACATTCAAAGTCTCTAACTACTGGTTACGATTGTCACGTACGCCGCAACCAGGTAACCTACATCTACTAATATAACTCAACCCAGTTGTGAATGATTTGATGAACTGGTATAATGTTTTGATTTGGCCATCCCTGACTTTCTTACAACCTATTTTTACACTGCATTGGGTATATGCAGTAAATATGACAACTACATTCGTTACAGATTCCCTATTTCATCAAATAATTTGCCATCATTCATTATCAAGTGCCGTATTTCTAATACACACCAATGAAAGCACCCAACTGCATCACATGATACATACCCTCATTTGGAATCCTCAAGGTTAATGGAAAAGATGAAGGCCAAGGAGAAATGGAGACAGATATGAGGAGAATGAACAATAGTTTGGTGCTCCTAGAACAGAAGACCCAGGATAGATTAAGATAGAAACTGTTGATCGGAGGTATTTGTTCCATTGAGGGTAACAGGCGTAATTAAGTAAGTAAGTAAGTAAGTAAATCAGCTTCCAAGCTTCTAATGATAGTCTAGCTAAGATCATTGTATGATGTCAACTTTGAATTTAGTATGTTATTTCATTGTTTCCAATATTTTATACTTTTCGTTTTTCTTTCCTCAAAAAAAACACCTCTACATTTAGCATCCAAATACTTTACATCTAAATAACTTACCAACTGTAAATAATTCAATTACTACAATTAAACGTATGATTCCTAGAACTAATGCAACTGTATGGCCTAATTTAAAGCATCGATTAAAATGTAGAAAATTTCTACAATCCTCCTTAGAATTATCATCAGCATCAGCATCATCATCATCGGAGACCACTACAACGCTGACAACACCGACAACACTGACAACAACTGAAGAAACATGGATTGATGGTCCAAATGTTTGCTTGTCATCAACATCGTCAGCGCTGCAGACAGCGACACCGCCATCACAGCAGCCACCTGCGCCGCCGCCACCTCCACCCTCTTATCATAATTGTGTACATAATTTAATCAAAGAACATCATGTTCAAACATCATTTTTATCGAATTCCGAAGAAATATGTGAACAATTACAAGAGGAATCAGTATGTCGAACGATTATTATTATTATTACTATTAATATAATGTTGGTAATGTTTTCTCTATTAAAAATATTCTTGTTACGCCTGCATGTAAACACGTCAACTTGATATACTTGAACTATTACGAGTTTACCTAGTCGGAAACGAGAGCGAGGATCCGGTGACACGACATGTTTGTTACTCAAATCCGATTATTACAACCCCCATATTTAGTAAAAAATAAGAAGACATGATATGAAGTAGAACATGTTGTATTCTACAAGCATCCAGAAAGTACGAAGTCCGAATCCAGAAGAGAATCAGGATCCCGGAATAGGGATCCGGGACCGAGCCCTGGTCGTGGTCATAAAATGTTACAGAAAATGCGTATTTATACATTTTGGTCGAATAGGAAACAGCATCGAATTATCTGGCATTGACAGTTAAGACAACCAATGGGAAGTAACATTTGGAGTGACATTGAAATTCAGGACAACCAATAAGAAACAACATTGATGTATTTGACTTTGACAGTTATAACGACCATAATTTTGACCATTAGAAATCGACCAATAGGATTTGACCAATAATTCTCTTAGGATATTGGATGAATATCCTAACAATTCTAGTACGGTTGCAAGTAGGAAGAGTCAATCCCCATATGGATGGACATGCGTGTATAACCACTGGCATGAAAGTCCTACTCACTGCTTCATCATTTCATCAATAGTGTTTATAAAATGGAGAGGACAAAAACTGATATTTAAATTGGGTTAATGAGTATGGAAGATCCACCTAAGGGCGTTGGAAGATCCTCCTTATCTCATAACAATGATGCACATAGACTCCAGGATCCTAAGGACATGGATGGTGTATGAACCTATTTTTAGTCAATGTCTGTTATATGTGACTGTATTTCCATAAGCTGTTTTCACTGCATCGTGGATTAGATATGTAGAGGAAAGACTCAATGAATGGTTCTACTTTGAACACTATTTTAGTCATTATTGAAGTTTCAATAGAAATGCTCTTTTGAAGAAATTCTAGAGTAGATTTAGAAACCTTATTTACGTTTTGGTCAACTTGTGTCACTAAATTACTGGTTTGTTTGTTATCATTCATCGAACTTAGAAAATCTTTATTCAGTTGAAAATAATTTAATCGGATCTGGTCCTCCCCCCCCTCAACTTGGTACTCTTAAGTTGTATACATTCTTGCCTGTCAGTTTATCTGATTAGCATGTTGTTGGGGAAGTTAGATCCCCGAAATTCGCTTGTTAAATGCCTTATTTTGGATTTCACGTTTGCCGGCATGGGCTGATCAGTTGACCAGTGAGATTTTATTTCCCACCAGGAAAATCCATGACTGTGATTGGCTGCTGTGTATTTTAGTGTGCTATTTTCTTAACTGCACCAAGGACGTTTCTATGATGTATAAATAAACGAGAGTTGTGTGCTTGATGGTATTGTGGGCTAGCTGGGTGTTTGTAGAATATACTTTCTACGCTTACCAAGACTTCTGTTTTACAGCTCGGGATTCAAGGTAGCCTATCTGGACGCTGTTAATTGTCTCGTTCGCATTTGTCGACTAAGGTGAACTCGTAATAGCTTCAAGCGTACCTAGTGACGAACATATCACATGTAACAGTGATGCTTCTCGTAATTTGATACGCTCGCCGATTGATATGCTTGAAACTAGTCGGTAAACGAGTACGAAGACAAATGATGCAGTGACACGATAGGCTATTCTAATCCGTTTGTCCCAGGCCCTACTAACTATATCAAGAAGTCTTGATAAGGCGTATAAAGTGTATTCTACAAGCACCCAGAAAATATAAGGTTCACAAGCACACAAATCGAGTTTATTTGTACGTGGTAGAAGTTTCCTTAGGAGAGCCACAAAAATAGCTTACTAAAATAATAAATCAACGGATGACTATCAAGGATTTTCCGAGTGGGAAATGTAATCTCAAGGTCAACTGATCAGCCCATGCGCGAAGACACAATATCCAAAATTAGGACCTTTTTCAACGTCCCCAACATACTTAACAGCCTAAACATCTAATTCCTGATAGTTTATTAGACGTGACCAGTGGAGTTCAACCCTGTCGAGCGTAGGCAGTAACTACCGAAGACAAATGGATGAGGTCGCGCAAAATCCCTAGATCAGTCAGAGTTAGACATTAACTCCGTTGACTGCTAGCCCATTAGTCCAATGGTTAGGCGTTCGCGCACAATACCGAAGGTCCCGGGTTCGAGTCCTGCGAAGTGCAGGAGTCGTGGTTGCGCACTGCTGATGAGTCCCATACCAGGACGAAATGGCCGTCCAGTGCTTGAAGGTTTTTAATGGTGATGGTCTAACAATGATTGACTGATGATTTCAAATGTGTAAGTTCCTTAGTTCCCAGGAATTTTCTACGAAAAAAACAGAATTCAACTGCGAAGCCAACATCTTACAAAGGTATAGCATTGATCAGTTCATGATTCCAATAGATCGGTATATTCGAGAATTGGAAGTTGACATAAAAAGAATGGACAAGAAATGGAGGCCCAGCAGAGAGTAGGTTGGAGAAAATGCCATGTAGGCGGCCTATGCTCCATTAGAGATAAAACAAGCTTAAGTAATTAAGTAAATATTGAAGTTAGACATCAACCTCGTTGGATAGGCGGTCGGCTGAGTAGTCAATAGATTCCAACTTACAGGATTATGAATAAGTCTCATACTAATAAAACCAAACAACCTTCCAATCCATTCAGATTTCCTATTCTAATCTAATATATTGATATTATTAGGATATTCATCAAATATCCTAAGAGAATGATACGTTCGTCACTAAGTATGCTTGAGGCTATTACGAGTTTACCTTAGCTGATAAACGCGAACGAGACTTTTACCAGCGTCCAGATAGGCTTGCTTGAATCCAAAAGTCTTGGTAAGCGTAGAAAGTATATTCTACAAACACTCAGCAATCACAGTACAATCAAGCATACCACTCTCGTTTATTTATACAACACAGAAACGTCCCTGAGACAGTTAAGAAAATAGCACACTAAAATACACAGCAGCCAATCACAGCCATGGATTTTCCTGGTGGGAAATGTGTGATCTCAAGGTCAACTGATCAGTCCATGCTGGCAAACGTGAAAACCAAAATAAAGCATTTAGCAAGCGAGTTCTGGGGATCTAACATCCCCAACAGAAAATTATGTCGTAAGTCTAATTCTACTGGTCGTCTTAACTATCAGTGTCACACATACTTCAAGTGTTGTCACCTATTCGACTTAACTGTTTAAATCTACATTATCTGTAACGTTTTATAACCCGGGATCCTCATTCTCTTCCAGACTCGAACCTCTTACTTTCTGGATGCTTGTAGAATACATGTTCTACTTCATATCAAGCCTTCTTCTTGTCCTTAGTGGTTCCTTAGGACGCTCAAATTATAGAGTAGCCTGTTTTTAGTCGCCGGATCAATTGATCCTTACTCTCGTCTACTGACTAAGATAAACTCGTAATAATACTTTCAAGCATATCAAATTAACATGTTTACTATATTTTGGAGCCAAAGGTCCCGGGTTCGAATCCTGTGAGGAGCAGGAATCGTGGATGTGCGGTGCCTCTGATGAGTCATTCATATACCAGGACGAAACAGCCGTCCAATGCTTCTAGATTTCTAATGGTGATGGTCTAACAATGATTGATTGATTGATTGATGATTTCAAATGTGTAACATGTTTACGTCGAATGCATAACAGTTAATGCATGTTAAGTTGTCGTGTTAAACAATTTCTATGAGACATTTTTATTGATTTTTGTTTTTAGATTATAAATTCAACTGAATTACAAAATATACATCCTATTTCTTCAATGAATCAATCAATAGACCCTTTTAATACTCAGAATAGTAGTAATAATAATAATAATAATAATAATATATCAAGAGCATTATCTGATATCTCTGAATGTACTGAAGATGCTGACACAATACATGATACAAATTCATTGAAAAAATCTTTGATAAATTTATCAATACATGATAAATTGTCAACTACAGCTAGTACTACGACGACGAAGACGACAGATCATATGCTTCCGTTGTCGTTGTTGTTGTTGTCATCGTCGCCATCAGTCAACTTATTCAGCTTTGATCATTTATCACCAAGAAATTCATATCAGTCAACGATATTAAATATAGGAGAAAAGTCAAGTAAGATTCATTTTTGATTTTCATGAAAGAGTTATGGAGATTGTGATGAGTTTTAATGAAATTATGAATTGGTTAGGGTTAGATGATTAGTGAGAAATTTGTAAGTAATGAAAGTGATTAAATATTAGACATGAATGTGGTTGGATGCTAGCCGGATCAGTAGTCTAGAGGTTAGGCGTTCGCTGACGTGATACCGAAGGTGTTGGTTTCGATTTACTCAAGTGGGGGGTTGTGGATGCGCACCTAGGTTGGAAGAAAGCTAGGGGCCGGGCAAACCAAAACATGGCACAAATTACATGAAGTCACTGACAAGTGGACTGATTCATGTTGGTAGATGTAGGCTATCTGGTTGGGGTCCACGAGAGGAAAGTCACCAATGGTTAGAGACCTTGAATGATATGGGTCAAAATCGTTCGCACTGGCGCATGTTCATCCACTCTTGGTGTTCTCTCTAATTCTAACCTTCTTAATTCCTTATCATTTCTATCTTACTCTTTCTAAATTTGTCTCACTAGATTCTACTTCTTGAATCATATCTTCGAACCCTAATTTTTTCCATTACTGCTAATACTTCTACTATCGCTATCACTTTTGGATTTGAACTGACATTTGTGTCTCTGTGCTGATGTGTTATTGCAATTTGAACTGATGCACTTACGTACGAAGTTCTGCGTTATATCTGTCTGTCTGCCTGGATGCGCACTGCCACTGTCGAGTCCGATTTTAAGACAAAACGGTCGTTCGATGCTTCTAGGTTGACGTGGAGTTTCTTTCTCTGTGAGCTGGATATTTTGGTTGTGGAGCTTTCATCATTGTTCTTCTGCTGAACAACATCATCAGTACAAACTTCAGATAGGAGAAGTGAAGTTAATGATTTAAGTTGTACTTAGATTAACGCTAGACATCCATGAATTAAATATACTTTGATCAACTGTTGCAACAGATTATTTCGCTAATTTTATTTGCCTACTAACTTTTAATTTAAGTAGTTAAAACATACACTATAAAATCAAGGGTTTTTTTTAATTTTTCGAATTGATATCAGTTATTAACCGTTATTCAATTATTTGTTTTTATTCTGTTTTAGAAAATTCTAATCATCCTGTTTCTAGTATTTCCACAATGGTGAATACTCCTACTACTCCTAGCAATAATACTAAGCCTACAGAAGTATTACTTGATATTGGACGACAAATTCGTGAAGCATCGAAACGTATTCATTATACAGTACCAACATCATATGTAAAAACTGTAAATGTACCTCAGGTAATAATATATTCTTACATGCAAAATAATATATTGTTTTATTTTTTCACTAATATGAATATATTTTTTTTAATAACTGAAACCACGCACTGAAGTCACCTAGACTATTGTAGTGAAGGAGAACACAGGTGAGGGCAACCGAATTGTATTTAACGAAAATTACTGAGTCACTCAGTAAAATAGGAAAACCCAAATCGTAAATCGTTCATTTGCAAAATAACAGTTCATCATATGGAACTGGACTGTAGCTGTTGCAAAACATCAATCGATTGTCACTATTCATGCTATTTCATACAAATTCCATTGTGTTCCAACTCTTCTTACTTTCTTGATCTTCCCCCATCTTCTGCTGCCAGACATTACGTTTTTACTCGCGTCATATACTACTTATAAGTAAAGCGCACCACACTACCATTAGAAACCTGGAAGCACTGGATGACCGTTTCGTTCTTGTATGGGACTCCTCAGTGGCAGTTCACATCCATGTCAACTACATGTGAACTCTTTATCTCCAGATAATTAAGTCTTTATCAAAACGTGTCCATTTTTATCTTCAGTCAATCTATGATGTTGCTTAAACTTCATCCACTGTCTCTAGTGGGTAACTGCCTCCTACCTGACACGATCTGAATTAATGAAAAAGATTTGTTGTGATTATATTTCAACTAGTAACATTATTTAAATGAATAAATTTATCGGTTTTCAATTTATTATTATTATTATTTTTTCTCATTAGTATTTAACTCATGTAAATGAAGATGATGAATTAATGTCAAATTTAAACAATGTCAAATCACCATTATTAAATCAAGAATTATTTAACCAATTAAAACAACCAGTTAGTATGAATGAAGCGGTTATTACATCGAATCCTGAAGGTGATAATAGTAGAATTTCTTTATCATCAAGGTAATAATCATTTTGTGTGTGTGTGTTTGTGTTATGCATGCCCTTTTCAGATTGTAACGTTGTCTTTTTGTTGATTATTCTAATACTCCGGTGTGCCTGAGAAGATAGGTAACATCATACGGAATTCTTATAATGAATTCAACTGCAAAACTGTACACGAAAGACAGCTAACAGACTCGTTTGAGGTGAAGACCGGTGTCAGGCAAGGTTGCATACTCTCAGCCTTTCTCTTTCTCCTTCTGGTGATCGACTGGATTATGAAGAAGTCGACATCTGAAGGGAAGCACGGTATCAACTGGACAGCTAGGACGCAGCTGAACGATCAGGACTTCGCTGATGATCTGGCTCTTCTATCTCATACGCAACAACAAATGCAAGAGAAGACGACTAGTGTAGCAGCAGTAGGTCTCAACACACATAAAGGAAAAAGTAAGATTCTACGATACAACACAACATGCACCAACCAAATCACTCTTGATGGAGATACCTTGGAGGACGTTAACACCTTTACATATCTGGACAGCATCATCGACGAGAAAGGTGGATCCGATGCAGATGTGAGTGCGCGGATTAGCAAAGCAAGGACTGCATTTTCTACAGATGAAAAATATCTGGAACTCCAAGCAACTTTCAACCAAAACACTACAAATGACAAGACAGTTATACTGTATGGAACGGAAACTTGGAGAACTACGAAAGCCATCATTCAGAAGATACAAGTGTTTATTAACAGTTGTCCACGCAAAATACTTCGTATTCGTTGAGCAGATACCATGAGCAACATCTTACTGTGGGAGAGGACAAACCAGATTCCATTGGATGAGGAAATCAGGAAGAAGCGGTGGAAGTGGATAGGACAAACATTGCGGAAAGCACGTAACTGCGTCACGAGACAAGTCCTCACATGGAACCTTCAAGGCAAAAGGAAAAGAGGAAGACCAAGGAACACATTAGGCCGAGAAACAGAGAAAGATATGAGAGGAATGAACAAACATTGGACAGAACTGGAGAGGGAAGCCCAGGATAGACAGAGTTGGTTGGAGAAAACTAGTCGGTGGCCTATGCTCCATTGGGGGTAACAGGCGAAAGTAAAATAAAAGTATTCTAACTATTTTGCCATCTATTGATCATACTAGAGTCTTCCATAAAGATTTTGTTTAGAGATTCATACTAATATTCTATAAAAAGGCACCTACTTAGCGCAAGCTGTTTGAGGCATTCAGAGCTCCAGTATGTGTAAGTGGGAGTGAATTTTTAAAAAAGTTGTACGTAAATTGAATAATGACTTGTCAACATTGGACATTAACACCTAACTTAAACAAATATGCAGTGAATAATGATCAAAAGAAAACGTAACTACTGAATATTATTAAGTAATATAGTTAATGTAACACAAATATTACAGGATGTGGAGAAATGGTAGTAAGATAATCTAAGCTGAATTAACAGTTTGCCTGTAATAACAAAGTTTAACCCATATTATAGTCGATAATTGGAAGAGTAAGCACATCACCTCATAAGTACGATTGAAGATCTTTCTCATCAGTTCATTAGTATGGTAGATTGTAATTCAAACAGTTAACAGGATTTTATGATTGTTGATAGAATTTTATGGGCTTTCAATGTCATGGTATAGTCCAGAGTCGGTAGGGTATAATCTTTCTGTCCAAATGCTTTCATATAATTACGCTTGCATAACTACTGTCAGGGAATTCCTACTCAATACCTTCTCACAACACGGCTGTTGTTTACGAAATTGAGATGCTGAAAGAGAATGTTTGAAAGATTCATAGACGAGGTTGTTAGATACAGACGACGGTACACATGAGATCCAATATCCTGAGGCAATAAATAGTGTATTAACCTACTACTGTTCATCGTTTCCACAGGACTTCATCTTCCAATGCTTTGTGGATAAGACCTTTTGGTGGAAGTCTCGATGAGTGGTTCCCTGAGGAAACCATCGATGTCGGTTTGGAGAGCCGCAAAGTGTTATCCTATCCCATTCAGAAATTCAATGATTTATAGAGTACATAAATAGTTAAGTTCCGCTTTGTACCAACGAAATGTGATTAATTCTTTGACATAAAGTGTTTCTCAAAGTTAGTTAAATAAATATGTCAGATTAAGATCAGCCTTGTTTCGATGGGACGTTAGATCCCCAGAACTAACTTGATAAATGCCTTAGTTTTGGATTTTATTCATGGGCTGATCAGTTGACCTTCATATCAAATTTCCCACCAGGGAAATCCTTGACTGCGATTGGTTGATGTGTTATTTTAGTGTGCTATTTTTGTGACCCTCCTAAGGACGTTTCTATGATGTATGATGTGTGCTTGAGATCATTGTGCTTGCTGAATGTTTGTAGAATACACTTCCTATGCTATATCAAGACTTTTTCGTGAGTTCCTTTGGGTCAATGTATCAGATTAGCCTACCCGGACACTGGTTCATTGTCTTGTTCTTGTTTATCGACTAAGATGAACTCATAATAGTTTCAAGTATATCAATCTGACAAGCATAACAGATATACACTGACTGATTTTAGAAGTTCCTATGTGTTCAATCTTTTATCTGATCACTTGTATAAATCACCTATTCACTAATCTCTGACTTTCAGTGATTATACTGCCTTCCCCTTCCAAATAATAATTCTTAATTGTAGGGTTCGTCACTTAGTATGCTTGAGGCTATTATAAGTTCACCTTAGTCGATAAACGCGAACGAGACAATTACCAGCGTCCAAGTAGGCTACTTTGAATCCCCAGTCTGAAGTAAAAAGGCTTTGTAAGCGTAGAAAGTATATTCTAAAAACACCCAGCAATCACACAATACAATCAAGCATACAACTCTCGTTTATTTATACATCATAGAAACGTCCTTGAGACAGATAAGAAAATAGCACGCTAAAATACACAGCAGCCAATCACAGCCATGGATTTTCCTGTTGGGAAATGTGTAATCTCAAGGTCAACTGATCAGCCCATGCTGGCAAACGTGAAAACCAAAATAAGGCATTTAACAAGCGAGTTTTGGGGATCTAACATCCCCAACATAATAAAACCTACTGTCGAAATAAAAACCTACTTCTTTTTGTCTTTATGTTTTTATTCTCCCTAATTTTCTTTTTAGTATGAAATTTACACAAAACAATAAATTGAACAATGAACAATTCAATTCAACAATTCCATTCAATGTATCAATAAACAGTCAAGAAAAAAAATCATCATCATCATCAAATCAACAAGTTGATTGTAGCCCTGATCATATAAATTGTCAACATTTTTTAACACAATCCCAACTGAATACATCAATTGTTGATAGGAAATTGACATATAACTCATTACATAATAATAATACTAGTCATACTGTTACTACTACTACTACTACTACTACTACTACTTCTACTACTAATAGTAGTAGTATTACTAATAATATTACAAATAATTCTTTCATTCGTGTCGCTGAATGGGTTAGTTCAATCAGTAGTAGTATTAGTAGTACTAGTAGTAGTACAACACCATGTTCAAATCAATCTAATCATTGTGAAAATTGTTCAATATGTCACAGTAATAATAATGATAACAATCCTTGTTTAAATTATACTTCACCAAATATGGTGATTAAAAAAAGAAAAAGTCATTTAATAAAAAGTAAAAATCATGCAAACAATTCAATTCATCATCATCATCATTCAACAACGCCGTCAACAACATTGAATAATAATTCAACAATCGGTTCATCATTATTTAAATGTACAAAACCAAATTATTCAATGTTCAATTCAGGATATGTATCGAAATCAAATGAAGTCGATGAAAATAAACAAATAATTCCATTGTATTATAGGTAAAATTAAATGTTGAAATTATTTTTTTATTGTATGTAAATTCTTTCATCTGAATGATTTGATTTGATTGTGAAGGTTGCTCATTGTTTTCTATGGAATAACATTATCAGTAGCAGCAGTACAAACTGAAGTATTCAGAAGGAATAATGAATGGTACAGTGATAGTTGTGCACTATTGAGGGGGCGGCCAAACCAAAACATGGCAGAAATCCATGAAATCATTGACAAGTGGACTTAGCCATGTCGGTAATTGTCGACTACCTGGTTGGGATCCGCGAGATGATAGTTAATTGATGGTTAGAGACCTTGAATGACATGACTCAAAATCGTTCGCAATGGCGCCAGTGCATTTATTCTTTGTGTTCTCTCAAATCCTAATCTTCTGGATTCTTCAATCCCTCTAGTTTTGACTTTCTAAACTTTTCTCACTGAATCTCACTTCTTGAATAGTATCTTCTAATCTTAACCTCTCCGATTACTTCTAATTCCCTTACTACCTCTTCTACTATTGGATTTGAATTGACAATTACATCTCTGTGCTGATGTGGTATGGCAACATGAACTGATGTACTTACGTACGAAGTTCTACGTTGCATCTGACTTACTGACTGACTGATACTCAATCTTATTTTCTTACTTACCTGCTTATATACTTACGCCTGTTACCACCTAATGAAGCATCGGCCGTCGACTAGCTAATTATTTTCCTGGTTAGGGTTTGTTTTAGTGAGATGGATTTCTACGGTACGGAGTCGCTAACCCCATGCTCAATCCTTCTCTTTTATCCGAGCTTGAGACCGGCGTTAACCCTAGACAGGCTCCAGAAGTAGTTGAACTTATCTTCTATGGAATAAAAGATACGATCTACAAAGAGAGTTCCAACTAGAAGTAGATCCAAATAATTGTTGATATCATCCAGTAATGGAAAGTAAACCTTCATTCCAGAAGATTCATTATTGTACTTACTAGTGTGCTGAGATAAGTACTGTTGTGGTGTGAACTACTTATAAGTAGTATATGACGTGAGCGTCAACGTAATGTCTGGCAGCCGAAGATGAGGTAAGATCAAGAAAGGAAGAGTTAGAAGAACACAATGGAATTTGTATGAAATGCATGAATAGTGACAATGGATTGACGTTTTGCAACAGGAACAGTCCAGTTCGATATGATGAACTGATATTTTGCAAATTAACGATTTACGATATGGTGTTCCGATTTTACTGAGTAACTCTGTAATTTTCGTTAAATACAATTCGGTTGCCCCACCTGTGTTCTCTTCCACTACACTGTAATTAGATCGTGAGAATTCAGCTCATGTCAATTAATTAGTGAGTGGTGTAAACACACATACTATTAGTGGGACATAAATGGAATTAAAGCATGATTACGTTGCTACGCGCTGATTGGTTAAAATTTCCTATCCAATCAGCGCTTGATCGATTCTTGGAGAACAGGATAGAAAATTCTTGTGTTGTGTTAGCTGCACTCTGATTGGCTAAATCTAATCTAGCTGGGTCACGTGAATTACTGCTATCCAGAAGCTTCTCATATAAATACTATAAGGAAACTAACGTTGTATTTATTTTTCGCCTCCGACTTCGGCTTCTTAATTCCATTAACCTTGTTGTTTGGAGCATAATCTCTTCCTGTTCCACAGTGTTTTTGATTCTTTGGAACTTGTCCAGTGGTGTATTGTGGTCAGATTATACTAAACGATAGGAATTAGCCGGGAATTATTCTAAGCAAGCGTTACAAAAAGTTGATACTCAATCTTATCTTCTTACTTAATTACTTACATATTTTTGTAGCGAACTCCATGCTCAACCCTTCTCCTTTATCCGAGTTTGAGACTGGCGGTAACCCTAGATGGGCTCCGGGAGGAGTTGATCATATCTTCTATGCAATAAAAGATACGATCTAAGAGACAGTTCCAACTAACATTAGACCCAAATAATTGTTGATATCATCCTGTAATTTAAAGTAGACCTTCGTTCCAGAAGATTCATTATTGTACTTACTAGTGTGCTGAGATAAGTACTGTGATTAGCTCGTGAGAATTCAGCTCATGTCATCATTGTATTGTCAACCAATTAATTAGTGACTGGTTGGACACCCATACCATGTATATATAGTTGGAAATTCAAATACTGTATTTCTTTCAACGTTGAATGTTATTCTTATCTATGCTAAAACTTAATTTCGTTATCGGCTAAAATTGGTTTTATTAACAATGAAACAGAAATAACTGTGGTGTAAGTGTATAACACTTAAAATTCAAACTCTAGCAAAAATAAGACATAATGTTATTTAACGTAAAGGGTTAAAAAGTGGTGCGGTACCGTTCTAAACAGGTTCAAACTACTGATGGAGTTTTTAAATGGTGTTATCACACTGACGTATGTTTCCGAGTTCTACTTTATATTACATTTCACATTGAATTTAGCTGATACATTGAAACTACTTATTAGCAGTGTAAAATTTAAAAAAGAAAATAATTCGTGGATTATCTCTGGGGTACCACTGAATTGAATATAAGACTAATGGAAATAGATAATAGTCGGGAATTGATCGACGTTAAAATTATTAACCCACCAGATGCTAGCTTATTGGTCTCAGGATAGTGCACTGCCTCTGAGTTCGAAATATTCTAGACAGTGAGTGTGTATGGTTATAATGGAGTTCCGTTTTATGAGCTGGGTGAATCGGTTGTCAAGATTTCAATGTTCTTCTACGGGACAACATCATCAGCATACTCTGCCGCGGTTTCGGACTCCTTCAAGAAACCGTGGAGGTGCTAGTAGGAGTCAAGGCGCAGAGGGCGAAGGCGGTGGTGTTGGGGACTCTACTAAAAGGCAGGTGAGGAAGATCGCGTTGTGCAAATTTACACTCTGAGTCAGTTAAAAACGAAAACATTACATTGAACACTCTATTTGCATACCATCTTTGAGTCGTGACATCCAACACTCCATCCTTTTTCCATTGCTGTTGTTGCTTCCTTTACTTCCTGTCAGTACTCCATTTACTTGTTGCTTTTGCTCCATTTGCTTTCCGTTTTCCTCTGACTGACCGTGCGAATTCTTCTTTTTTCACGTCCCTTCTTATACTACTTATAACGTTCGTATAAGTAGCACACACCACATTACCATTATCTCTTATCTATTGTATTCTTTTATACTTTTTTCTTCAAACTAGTTCATCACCATCAGTTCCTCCTCCATCTCTTTTATCTAGTCATAATGATTCAAATATACAACAATCATTTTATTCATCTCATGCTATGAAATCAAATGATATTTGTCAAATACCCCAATCTTATTCTACACCAATATTTCCCTTATCATCATCATCACCATCATCTCATGAAATACCAACACCAACACCCCCACTACCACAGCCACCACAAAATTTACACTCCCCTTACAATTATCGATCAAACTCACTGACACCAGGTAGTTTCATTGAAACAAATCATATCAATAGCCAATTCAATGTTCACACTATGAAAGATCAGAAATTCAAACAAAATCAAATGATCAATTCAAATTTATTTTCTAATCATCCTAATTATCATCATCATTGTTATCCACAAACATACACAAACCTAAATAATCATGATCATAGTCAGATGATAAATAATTCACATATCTTTCCATCAACACATAGTTATAGTAGAGAATTCTATCAGAACTCTTTTAATAATATTGATCAACAACAAAGTCAACAAGGATATACATCAATTCCTTGTCATAGTCATTACATTCAGGATCAAATTATTCCTCCTCCTACCACTACTACTACTGACAATACTACTACTGTTACTACTAACAGTGAAGAGAAATCCAAAATGAAATTATCATTTAAATTTTTCACTTTACCGCTATTACGTAGTTTTCGTTTACGTAAAAAGATGAAAAAAGAAAATTCCGATAAAATACATCAACATGATACTAGCAATCAGGTGTTTATTGTGAAAAATGATCCAAATACTATTCATACTACTAACAATAATCATAGTAGTAGTATGTTCAAAAATAATGAATTAATACCAACTTCTCCATCCATTGAATCACCAATAAAATTAACTTCTTTCAGCCATTCAAATTATTCTCATCCCTCTTTCACTAGTGATAATAATAGTAATAATAATTATCTATTGCCTACTACATTCAATCAGCAGCTTACCACCATTGAAAATTCACATTCAATGTTCAGTGATCAATATTTACAAAACAGTCATCATCCTGATCCTCATCCTCATCATCATGGTCATCAACCTTCGTCGAATCAATATTTATCTCATGAAAATCAATACAATCATTATCAAAATCAATTATGTTGTGTCAATAATAATAATAATAGTAATAATAATGAATTTTCATCAATTGGCGCTTCATTTGAATTGAATACAATCAAGTAAATTTAATAATAATAAATAATAATAATAATAATAATGATAAGAATCATTTTTGTCTGAAAAAAAGGCATGAAGTTATTAATTATACTTTAAAAACTTTGATTCAGTTTGTGATTAGGATAAATAAATGATATGATTACTAGGAGATTGGAATCCAAGATAAGGGAGCTTGTGTCATACTTACTTACTTACTTACGCCTGTTATCCATGTTACCTGAACTAATGAGTGATAGGAAGTGAAGTAGTTGAGCGTGTAGACCGCTTCACTTGTCTTGAGAGTCTCGTCAGTGCTGATGGTCTGTTGACTGACGAAATGTCAGGGCAGATACAGAAGGCTCGATTAGCTTTCGCCAACTTGCGTCATTTATGGCATAGACGAGATATCTGTTTGCTAAACAAAGGACGAGACTAAGGTGCAGTAGTTTGCTCTGTCCTACTAAATGGATGTGAAACATGGCCCGTAAGAGTTGAGGATATTCAAAGGTTTCTAGTATCTGAGTAAAGGTGTCTTCGGAGCATTTCTCGTATATCTTGAGACAACCGAGTAAGACGTGCTATCGTTAGAAAACGATTACTAGGTAGGGATGGAAGATCAGTAGATGAAGTGCTGAAAATTCGTCCGTTGAGGTGGTTGGGACATATGTTACAAATACTCAACCACCAACTGCCTCGACAAGCTATGTTCTGTAGTTTGGGAGTAGGTTGGAAGAAAGCTAGAGGCGGCCAGACTAGAACATGGCAAAATCCATGAAGTCAGTGACAAATGCGCTGAGCCATGTTACTGAGTGTAGACTACCTTGTTGAGGTCCGCGATACAGTGGTAACCAACTGTTATAGACCTTGAACGACATGGCTCAAAACTGTTTGCGATGGCGCAGGTGCATCCACTCTTTGTGTTCTCTCAAATTCTAATCTTCTGAATTCCTGATCATCTCTATCTTTCTCTTTTTAAATTTATCTCTCTGAATCGTACTACTCGAATCTTTTCGCTCCCTAATCTTCTCCATTACTGCTAATACTCTTCTACTATCTCTACCACTATTGGATTTTAACTGCCAGTTGTGTCTCTGTGCTAATGAGTTATGGCAACATGGACTGATGTGCTCATGTACGAAGTTCAACGTTGTAAATGACTGACTGACTGGCTGTTACCCCTAATGGAGTACAGGCCGTCGACCAGCGGATTATTTTTATGGTTAGCGATTTTTTTAGGCGAGTTGAATGTATGGATTAGATCGCTTACCCCACGCCGAATTCCCCTCCTTTATCTACGGGCTTGGGTCCAGCAGTAACCATAGAAAGGCTCCAGGTAGAGTTGCTTGTACAACAGGATGAAGTGTAATTTATTCGTATTAGTAGGTTAAATATTCCCTGTTGATGTTTAGAACTGCAATATAAAACTGCAAGAATAATTTTATTTTCAACACAGAAGTTAATGATTGGACCCCGTTCCAAACTACATGTTGGAGCATTCAATGTACGGACATTGTGTCAAATAGGGCAACAGGCGTCATTAGCTAGGACTTTAGAATCTCGTTCCATCGATGTGTGCTGCGTCTCGGAAACGCGCATACAGGATCCGAGTAGCATCACTCATTTGACCTCACCATGTCAAGATAAAGAAGCAGCTCGATTTACCCTTCGTGTATCCGATAGCCCTGATGCTGCTTCTAGGGGCCTCGCCGGTGTAGGTATAGCATTGAGTCGTAGGGCAGAACAATCTCTCCTTGACTGGATCCCTGTAGATAGTCGCTTGTGCGCCGTCCGACTAAACGGGACAGTAAGGACTCGGAAAGATAGGGACACTCGCCGTTGCCTCTTCGTCATATCAGCCTACGCCCCCACTGACTGCAGCCCAGATGATGTAAAAGATGAGTTTTACAGAAAGCTTTCGGACCTCCTCCAAAAAGTTAAGCGCTCTGATATAGTTATAATGGCTGGTGACTTCAATGCACAAGTAGGTAGACTAAGTGAAAATGAAAGACACCTAGGTGGATGTTACGGTCTCGCGGCTCAAAGAACAGACAATGGCGACCGTCTGTTGCAACTGTGCTCAGATAACCAACTATTTCTAGCAAACACTAATTTTAAGCATAAGGAAAAACACCTTTTGACCTGGCGACCCCCGAAATCGTCTCAACGTTGGACACAACTAGATCATATCGCCATCAGCCACCGATGGAGGGGTTCGATAGAGGACTGTCGCTCGTTCTGGGGCACATGTTTAGATTCAGATCATGCCCTGGTGCGAGCACGTATTTGTTTGAGCCTGCTTGCTGGACGTAGGAAAGACACCGTAAGGAAGCCTCTTAGGGCTTTACTTGATGATAATCAAGCTAAGAAAATATTTCAGGAGGAACTAGAAAAACAGTTAGGCGGCCATGCAAGTGATTCCCATCCGGAGTCAGGTTGGAATGATATAAAGAAGGCTGTGGAAACAGTAGTGATAGCTGCTAGTAAGGTTAACCATAAGTCTAGGAAGAAGCCGTGGATCTCAGTAGCATCCACCGAGCTAATAGACGCTCGTAAACTCATCCCTTCTGACTCTGAACATGATGAAGAGCGTACTCAACTTAGGCGCAGACTTATAAAAAGCCTACGTAACGACCGTGAACAGTGGTGGGTGGCGAAAGCAAAAGCGATGGAAAAGGCAGCGGCGATCGGCAACACTTGGAGATACCTTGGAGGACGTTAACACCTTTACATATCTGGGCAGCATCATCGACGAGAAAGGTGGATCGGACGCAGATGTGAGGGCGCGGATTGGCAAAGCAAGGGCTGCATTTCTACAGTTGAAAAATATCTGGAACTCCAAACAACTTTCAAACAAAACCAAAATCAGGATCTTCAATACAAATGTCAAGACAGTTCTACTGTATGGAGCGGAAACATGGAGAACTACGAAAGCCATCATCCAGAAGATACAAGTGTTTATTAACAGTTGTCTACGCAAAATACTTCGTATTCGTTGGCCAGACACCATCAGCAACAACGAACTGTGGGAGAGAACAAGTCAGATTCCAATGGAGGAGGAAATCAGGAAGAAGCGGTGGAAATGGATAGGACATACACTACGAAAAGCACCCAACTGCGTCACTAGACAAGCCCTCACATGGAACCCTCAAGGCAAAAGGAAAAGAGGAAGGCCAAGGAACACACTACGCCGAGAAATAGAGAAAGATATGAGAGGAATGAACAAACATTGGACAGAACTGGAAAGGGAAGCCCAGGACAGAGTTGGTTGGAGAAAACTGGTGGGCGGCCTATGCTCCTTTGGGGGTAACAGGCGAAAGTAAGTAAGTAAGTAAGATCGGCAACACTAGACAACTTTTCCGCCTTATCAAAGAAACCGGTATTAGGAACCCGAATGTAAGTGAGACTATCTCGGAAAAGGATGGTCTTATTATCCATTCTCAATCTAGGAGGCTGGACCGATGGGCAGAACACTTTAGAGATCAGTTCAACTGGCCTTCAGCCACTCTTCGGTTGCCCACGATCTCCAGTCATCCTGAATGGCAAATCGATTTAAGTCCTCCCAGTTTACATGAAGTTGAGAAAGCTATAGGAAATCTAAGGGGAGGTAGAGCGGCAGGTCCCGATAGGCTTACCCTTGAGATGTTTAAGAATGGTGGTCCAGTTTTAACGGTTAAACTGACCGAGATCCTAGGTAGAATCTGGGAAATGGACGTAATCCCATCTGACTGGTCTCAGTCGCTAATTGTCCCAATCTACAAGAAAGGACAGAAGTCCTCTTGTGACAATCACAGGGGAATAAGTTTAACTAATATAGTTTCTAAATTGTTAGCCTCGATTATACTTAGACGTCTAACTAGAGCTCGTGAAGAGCAGACTCGAGAAAACCAGGCTGGTTTTCGACCTGGACGTGGTTGTATAGACCACATCTTCACACTACGACAGGTCCTGGAACACAGACACACATTTAGACGTCCGACAATAGTCGTGTTCCTGGACCTTAAGGCGGCATTCGACTCAGTGGATCGTGAGGTTCTGTGGCAGTGTCTGTCATTGAAAGGTGTACCGGAGAAGTACATTGACCTTATCCAAGCACTCTACTCGAACACCACTGGTCGGGTGATAGCATATGGCGAACTGTCATCTGAATTCTCTACATCAAGTGGTGTCCGTCAGGGCTGTCCACTCTCTCCATTCTTGTTCAAGTTTGTCGTAGACATCCTCTTAGATTTGACATTAAGCTCGTCAGATTTTTCAGGGGTTGACCTTCTACCAGGAAAGTCGCTTACTGATCTAGAATATGCCGATGACATAGTTCTATTCGGTGAAGACGCTGACAAAATGCAGAGTCTTCTGACTACCATAAGCAACAATGTGAGCATGTTCGGGATGCGGTTTTCCCCCTCGAAATGCAAAATGTTGCTTCAAGACTGGGTTGCATTGGCACCTGAACTAGTGATAGGGAGTGAAGTAGTCGAGCGTGTTGATCACTTCACTTATCTGGGGAGTCTCATCAGTGCTGATAGCCTGGTGACTGACGAAATCTCAGCTCGGATACAGAAGGCTCGATTGGCTTTTGCCAACCTGCGTCACTTATGGCGTAGGCAAGATATCCGTTTGCTGACTAAAGGACGAGTGTACTGCGCAGCAGTTCGTTCCGTTCTCTTATATGGCTGTGAAACATGGCCGTTAAGAGTAGAAGATGTTCGTAGGTTACTAGTATTCGATCATAGATGTTTAAGAAGCATTGCTCGTATATCGTGGGACAGCCGAGTAAGCAATGCTGTCGTAAGGAAACGAGTACTAGGTAAGGATGGCAGATCAATCGATGAAGTGGTGAAACTTCATCATTTGAGGTGGTTGGGACATGTGTTACGTATGCCTAACCACCGACTGCCTCGACGAGCTATGTTTTGTGGTGTAGGAGTAGGTGGGGGCGGCCAAACCAAAACATGGCAGAAATCCATGAAGTCACTGACAAGTGGACTGAGTCATGTTGGTAGATGTAGACTACCTGGTTGGGGTCCGCGAGACGAAAGTCATCAATGGTTAGAGACCTTCAACGACATGGCTCAAAATCGTTTGCAATGGCGCAGGTGCATCCACTCTTTGAGCTCTCTCAAATCCTAATCTTCTGGATTAGCCAGCACCTCTACCTTTGTCTTTCTAACCTTATCTCACTGAATTATATTTTTTGAATAATATCTTAAACCCTAGTCTTCTTTATTATAACATTTATACCTCTACCATCTTTATCACCATGGGATTTGATTTGACATTTGCGTCTTTGTGCTAATAATGTGGTATGGCAACATGAACTTATGTACATACGTACGAAGTTCTACGTTGCAACTGACTGACTGACTAATGATTGGACTGGCTGTAAAGCTAGTGATGCAGTACCACTCAATGACCTTGAAACACGATAGAATTATCAAACCAAAACAATAAAAACCTATCAATTCATAGGTGTATATGTATATATTTTAGTGGTCGACAGTCTGATTCCAATTTCGGACGAATGATTGAGTCCGTTATGAAATAAATCTTCCCTTCCATTTTTGTATATATCATGTGCTGCATGAAACCGCAACTCTGCCTGGCATGCCTCTGGGGCTACTGCTATTTCTAAGCCCGGACAAACGAGGGGTGTTGGGCGTAGGGTTAGCGAATGCATCCTGTAAAAAACTTACTCGCTAAAAAAACGCTAATCAGAAAAACCACTTCAGTAAGTAGTGCAATAGCGGTAATAAGCAGCCGAACACAGATTCAGTTCGATGAATTTATTTCATACAATCTTTGACACGCAGATAGACATGAGAATACAAAGTGTAAACGTGAAGCGAAGCAACATGGAGAAAGTGAGTTAGCCAACCGCGTATGTGATGGGGCATGACTCAGTTATTTTTAGTTAGACAAAAATCAACTGGACATGTGATAAACGAAGTTAGCAATGCAACACACGAACACGGGCTCAAGTAAAAATAACCAGGGATATGTTGGGGGATGTTAAATTCCCAAAACTCGCTTGATAAATGCGTTAATTTGGTTTTCACGTTTGCCAGCATGAGCTGATCAGTTGACCTTGAGATCACACATTTCCCAACAGGAAAATCCATGGCTGTGATTGGTTGCTGTGTATTTTAGTGTGCTATTTTCATAACTGTCCCAAGGACGTTTCTATGATATATAAATAAACGAGATTTGTGTGTGCTTGATTGTATTGTGTGATTGCTGGGTGTTTTTAGAATATACTTTCTACGCTTACAAAGCCTTTTTTTACTTCTGCTGGGATTCAAGGCTCAAAATCGTTCGCAGTAGCGCCGGTGAATTTATTCTTTGTGTTCTCTCAAACCCTAATCTTCTGGATTCTTCAACACCTCTAGTTTCGACTCTCTAAACTTTTCTCACTGAATCATACTTCTTGAATAGTGTCTTCTAACCCTAACCTCTCCGATTACTTCTAATTCCCTTACTACCTCTTCTACTATTGGATTTGAATTGACAATTATATCTATGTGCTAATGTGGTATGGCAACATGAACTGATGTACTTACGTACGAAGTTCTACGTTGCATCTGACTGACTGACTGACTGACCGGTACGCTGGTAATAGTCTCGTTCGCGTTTATCGACTAAGCGAATAACTGACAAGATTGAAAGACGTATGAATTACGATTCGGACATGACCAACCATGTTAGCTCGACATAGTTAGTACACACACTACAATATATATGTTTTACTCTAGATCACATTTTTCTGGTTTTTTTAACAATAAATTTCATCGATAAGTTTGGTATTTTTTAAATTTTCTATTCCAGTGGAAAATCAACATGTCGATCATCTCGTCGAAGTGGTGGTGGCGTCGGCGGCGGAGGCATTTGTCCTCTTGGTAGCGCTGGAGGTGGACCATCTAGTAGCGGTTATGAAAGTATGCATACTGGGGCTAGTGAATTATCACTACTATCACATCCAGATTCAACAAGTGATTGTTCTGGACATATGAAAGAAACTTTTATCAGTAAACGTTCATCTTTAGATGAATATCGTCGACGATGTCACAGTCAACAACAACATCATCAGCATCGTCAACATCGTCAACATCGCCATCATCATCAGCAGCATAACTCTAAGGATTCTTATCAATCTAAATATCATCAAGAACATGTCAATACAAGTAATCGATTAATTTCATCAAATGACCTTCAAAGTAAGTATGATGTGATTTGCTTGTTTTTTCTCTTGATGATTGGTGATATTTTTGTGGTGGGTGGGGGGGGGAAGTTGGGAAATTGTTACTCAACTTGTCTAAATCAATATATCAGTTGTTAGAATTTCAGAGTTAATGTGTACAGTACACCATTAATGAACTAATCATAAGTAAGAAAGTGAAACTTTTTTTACCAAATTTTTAAAAACATAAAGTTATGACGGCTGTGATATCTGTAAAAATGAAGAATATCGATTAGAAAATGCCTTTAAAATAGAATTCTAATTTATTTTAATAAAGTGTGGTTAAATACTACTCATTCAGTGGCATATAAGTAGTATGTAGTGTGTAGTGTTGCCTAGAAATTGCTATCAGAGAGAACAATATCTAGAGATTAAAATGTATGACATGATTAGAGTGTTTTTTTAAGATTGTTTAGATTATCCTACCTAGTTGTTTGGGATTCTTCTTCGTATTTGATACTACGAATAAGTGTTTTATAACGAACGAGTTAAATTCATTGATCGAAAGAGAGAGAGTGACTTTCTAGTTTCATCTTTATAAGAAGTTTGGTCATATTGATAATATTTCCAAGGGAAAACAATGAAAGCTTCATGAATGAACTATCGTTCAGTTTAGAGGAGGGTATTTTTACAAATAATACCCATATATATATACTTAGAACATATAAATTGATGTTCGACTGAAATTATGAAGTGAACAATATTAGATGACCATTGGAAACCTGGAAATACTGGTTGGCCGTCTTGTCCTAATACGGGACTCATCAGCCAGTATGCATCCACGGCTCTGTGAAGCTAGGACCTTAGATCTTGCATCGACGAACGCTTAACTTCTTGAACATAGATCCAGAATCGAAAGGCTAGTAAGCTGCAACGTAGAACTTCGTACATACCTACATCAGTTTAAGTTGTCATTACGAAAATAGCACAGACAGGTGCATTTCTCAATTCAAATCCCATAGTAGTAGAGGCAGTAGAAGTATTAGCAGTAATTGGAAAGATTATGGTTCGAAGATATTAATTATTCTAGGGGTATAATCCAATGAATTAGATTTGAGAAAAGAAAGATGAAGGTCATCAGGAATTAGGATTAGAATTTGAGAGAACGCAAAGAATGGATGCACCTGCGCCATTGCAAACGATTTTAAGCCATGTCATTCAAGGTCTCTAACCATCGATTGCTATCAGTTCGCGGACCCCAACCAGGTAATTTACAACTACCAACATGACTCAGTCTATTTGTCAGTGACTTGGTTTGGCCGCTGCTAGCTTTCTTTCAGCCCACCCTAACATCAAGAAATAGCTCGACGAGGCAGTCGGTGGTTAGGCATATGTAACACATGTCCCAACTACTTCAGCTGATGAAGTCTCAATACTTCATCTACTGACCTTCCATCCTTACCTAGTACCCGCTTCGTAACAACAGTACTGCCTACTCGATAATCCGAACTTAAACGAGCAATGCTTCGGAGACACCTATGATCAAAAACCAGTAACCTACGAATATCTTCTACTTCTTACTGACCCTGTTTCACGACCATAGAGTAGGATGCAGCGAACTACTACTGCACAGTAAACCCGTATTCTGGTTGGTAGATGATATCTCGCTTACTCCATCAGTGATGCAAGTTTAAAAAAGCCAGTCAAGCAGTCTGAGATTTCGTCACACACCGGGCCATCAGCACTGACAGCAATCAACTGTGTTAATGTCTCATACCATACCATGAAACGGCTATCCATTGGTCCCAATTCTCCAATGATGATGGTCTAACACTAACCAATTCATGATTTCAACAACTGTTGGGGATGTTAGATCCCCAGAACTCGCTTGATAAATGCCTTATTTTGGATTTCACTTTTCCGAGCATTGGCTGATCAGTTTACCTCGAGATCACACATTTCCCACCAGGAAAATCCATGACTGTGATTGGCTGCTTTGTATTTTAGTGTGCTATTTTCGTAACTGTCCCAAGGACGTTTCTATGATGTTGGATAAATAAACGAGAGTTGTATGCTTGATTGTATTGTGTGATTGCTGAGTGTTTGTAGAATATACTTTCTACGCTTACAAAGCCTATTTTTCTTCAGCTTAGGATTCAAGGTAGCCTACCGGTACGCTGGCTAGAAGATATTCGTAGGTTACTGGTTTTCGATCATAGGTGTCTTCGAAGCATTGCTCGTATATCCTGGGACAACCGAGTAAGCAATGCTGTTATTAGGAAGCGGGTGCTAGGTAAGAATGGCAGATCGGTTTGTGAAGTAATGAAACTTCATCAGTCGAGGTGGTTGGGACATGTGTTACGTATGCCCAACCACCGACTGCCTCGAAGAGCTTTGTTTTGTAGTGTAGGAATAGGTTGGAAGAAAGTTAGGGGTGGCCAAACCAAAACATGGCAGAAATCCATGAAGTCATTGACGAGTGGACTTAGCCATGTCGTTAGTTTTCGACTACCTGGTTGGGGTCCGCGAGATGATAATAATCGATGGTTAGAGACCCTGAATAACATGGCTCAAAATCGTTCGCAATGGCACCGGTGCATTTATTCTTTGTGTTCTCTCAAATCCTAATCTTCTGGATTCTTCAACACCTCTAATTTCGTCTTTCTAAACTTTTCTCACTGAATCATACTTCTTGAATAATATCTTCTAATCCTAACCTCTCGGAGTACTTCTATTACCCTTACTATCTCTTCTACTATTGGATTTGAATTTACAATTACATCTCTGTGCTGAACTGATGATGAACTGATGTACTTACGTACGAAGTTCTACGTTGTATCTGACTGACTGACTGACCGGTACGCTGGTAACTGTCTCGCTCTTGTTTATCGACTAAGGTGAACTCGTAATAGCTTCAAGCATACCTAGTGACGAACCCTATAATAACATTATAAGGATCTCCACAACTCTCATAATTAACAATACAAATTAATACGTCTTCATTATGTTTAACTGATAAAACCTATTGTAGTGAATGAGAACACAGGTGAGGGCAACCGAATTGTATTTAACGAAAATTACAGAGTTACTCAGTAAAATAGGAAAACCATATCGTAACCAGCGTTCATTTGCAAATCTTCAATCCATCATCAATTGATTGTCTGACATTTCACTATTCATGCGTTTCATACAAATTCCATTATGTTCCCACTCTTCTTGCTTTCTTGATCTTCCCCTATCTTCTGCTGTCAGACATTACGTTTACACTCACATCATATACTACTTATGAGTAGCTCACACCACACTATTATTATTATCATTATTATTGATATTCAATAGCGATCAATGTTCAATATTTCATTTCAATTCATTTTTTTAAAAATTATTTTTTCTTTTCTCCAAAATAATTAATTCATTTCAGATGGATGACAAACAATCTTTTATACATTTGGATTCTCATCCAAAAATCAGTCCACATTTGATTACCTAGAACATTCAGAATTGTTCCGTCCATTTAAAAAAAATCTCTTCATCATTTTCTCAGTTTATTTCAAATGGTTAATTATTTTTTGAGGGGGAATCTATCAAGTGTACAACAATAGCACATATAAATTTTTAAAAAAAATTACTCAACATGTATACATACAGTTTTATAGATCATGGTGACGGGCAACTATGGCCAATATACTAACTACATTGTACAATGAAAATTACATCAGAAATTTTGATCGGATTTCTGTTTTGTTTTTCTTAAAAACATTCATTGTTCAATTAAAATATATTGTACAAATAAAATCAACATACACAATATAAAATACATGAATACTTACTTGATCAAATGTAACGAACGCATTTGTTTGTTTACGCGTCATGGCGCGCGCGTTTGCGTGGTTAATTTTAATGTTTTATAATTGTAATTTGTTTTTGAGCAGAAAAAATAATAATAAGTATTTGTAAAATTTTTAATTTTGTATAATATACTACTACTAATAATAATAGTAATATCATGTTGATAACACTACTACTACTACTACAGTTGAATGAAAAAAATTTTGTAAATTTAAGAAAAAATTGTTTCAACTGTTTTTGCTTTATTGGAGATGATTTATATTTAATTTTACTTAAATTATGGATTGGTTTGTTGTTAATATGAAGAGATAATTGTACTGATGACATGGAATTAACTTTTTTGTAGGGTAGTTGAAGACTTACTTACTTACGCCTGTTACCCCCAATGGAGCATAGGCCGCCAACCAGTTTACTCCAACCAACTCTGTCCTGGGCTCCCCTCTCCAGATCTGTCCAATGTTTGTTCATTCTTCTCATATCTTTCTCTATTTCTCGGCGTAGTGTGTTCCTTGGCCTTCCTCTTTTTCTTTTGCCTTGAGGATTCCATGTGAGGGCTTGTCTCGTGACGCAATTAGGTGCTTTCCGCAATGTGTGTCCTATCCACTTCCACCACTTCTTCCTGATTTCCTCCTCCACTGGAATCTGGTTTGTTCTCTCCTAAAGTAAGTTGTTGCTGATCGTGTCTGGCCAACGAATCCGATGTATTTTGCGTAGACAACTGTTAATTAACACTTGTATCTTCTGGATGATGGCTTTGGTAGTTCTCCAAGTTTCCACTCCATACAGTAGAACTGTCTTCACATTTGTATTGAAAATGCTGATTTTGGTTTTGGTTGAAAGTTGTTTGGAGTTGCAGATATTTTTCAACTGGAAGAGAATAATTATACTGAATATATATAGAACTAACTTTTTTGTAGGGTAGTTGAAGACTTGCTTACTTACGTACCTACGCCCTTTAACCCTAGTGGAGCATAGGCTGCCGACCAGTATTCGCCAGCCAACTCTATCCTGAGCCTTCTTTTCTAGTTCTATCCAATCGTCTGTCTCTAATTCGAGGCATAAATTGTTCTTTAGTCTTCCTCTTTTCCTATGACCTTGAGGAATCCAAGTGAGGGCTTGTCTTTTGATGTAGTTTGGTGCTTTTCGCAATCTGTTTACTATCCACTTCCAGCACTTCTTCTTCCATTAGAATCTGGTTTGTTGTCTTCTAAAGTAGGTTGTTGGTGACAGTGTCTGACTGACGGATCCGAAGTATTTTGCGAAGACAACTGTTAATGAATATTTGTATCTTCTGTATGATGGTGTTGGGGATGTTAGATCCCCCAGAACTCCGATGATAAATATCTTTATTTTGGATATATTTCATGGGTTGATCAGTTGACTTTGAGATCACATTTCCTACCAGGAAAATCCTTGCCTGTGATTGGTTACTGTGTTATTTTAGTGTGCTATTTTTGTGACTTCCTCGAGGACGTCTCTATGGTGTATAAATAAACGCGGCTTGTGTGCTTGGATTCATTGTGTGCTAGCTGAGTGTTTGTAGACTTCTCGTTGATACAATTGCGACAATCGGATCACAGTAGCCTACCTGGACGCTGGTTCATTGTTTTGTTCTCGTTATTCGTCTAAGGTGAACTCGTAATAGTTTTAAACATACTTCGAATGAATATAACAGATGGCCTTCGTGATTTCCCAAGTTTCCGCCCCATACAGTAGAACTTTCTTGACGTGCGTATCGAAGATTGTGTCTTTGGTGCTGGTTGGTGGTTGTTTTGAGTTGTAGATGTTCGTCCATTGTAGAAAGGCTATCCTTGATTTACTGGTCCGCTCCATCATATCTGCATCAGATTCACCTTACTTACCAATGATACTTCCCAGAAATGTAAAGTTTCTCTGTCAAGAGTAATGTGATTGGTGTATGTTGTATTGTATAGGAGAATCTTGTTACCCGTTTTGTGTATGTTGAGATCCACTGCTGCTGAGGCTGCTGCTACACTGGTCGTCTTCTCTTGCATTTGTTGTTGCATGTGCGATAGAACAGCCAGATCATCTGCGAAGTCCAAATCGTCCAGTTATATCCTAGCTGTCCAGGTAATTGAAGACAGCTGACAAAAATGACGGATCAAAGTTTCATGCTGTTTAACATTTATTAACAAGGTATACCAGTAGTTGTGAGAGAACTTATGTTTCCTTACGAATTCGATTCTGTGCCCTGCAGATTCATAGTCTGTGACATGATATCGAATTACTTAAACTGATGACTAGGTCTAAACTTGATTAGTACACTTCAACCAGCATTAAGTACTACTACTCAGCGATCTGTCTATAGTAGGAGTGACAGTCTATGTGATATACTAATAGACTGTTAGTTCTTAATGTTTATAAACCAATAATAAGATGATTTCAGCTAAACTATCAACGAAGGTTCTGAGTTCATCAATTCTAAGCATGAGGGATAGTAAATGTTCCCTGTTGATGATATTTTCTCAGAGTAATACTTATTTCGGCCTGTTACCGCTGATGGAGCGTAGACCGCCGACCAGCCGATTACTTTTCTGGTTAGCACATTTTCAATGAGTTGGTTTTCTATGAGACAGAATCGCTAACCCCATGCCCAAATCTCTTCATTTATATGGGCTTGGGACCGGCAGAAACCCTAGAAGGGCTCTAGGCAGAGTTTCTCATAGTAGTAAGGCAAAAATGTCTTTTCAAAGGCATATCTCAAAAACGAGTTATTTATATATCAGTAAGTTATGCTATATCGATAGATCTAAGCGTAAAAGTATCATATACTCACGATCTTCAATAAATCAATCACAACCAGACAGACAGATACAACACAGAACTTCGTACGTATGTCCATCAGTTCAGGTTGCTATGCCGCATTAGCACAGAGGTGTACTTGTCAGTTCAAATTACATAGTGGTAGCAATAGTAGAAGTATTAGCAGTAATCGAGAAGATTAGGGAGCAAAGATAAGATTGGAGAAGTATAATTCAGTGAGATAACTTTAGAAAGAGAAAGATAGAGATGATGAGGAATTCAGAAGGTTAGAATTTGAGAGAATACAAATAGTGGATGCACCTGCTCCATTCCAAACAGTTTTGAGCCATGTCGTTCAAGGTCTCTAACCATTGGTGACTTACGTTTCGCGGACACCAAGCATGTAGTATACATCTACCAACATGACTTAGTCCAGTTGTTAGTGATTTCATGGATTTCTGCCATGTTTTGTTTTGGCCGCCCCTAACTTTCTTCCAACCTACTCCTAAACCACAATCACAACCAAGATAACTAACGCCTCATGTATTTCGAGTCAAATTCAAACACACTACCGCAATACATTGCTTGTATGTATATGAAATTTATATTGTAGAACTGAAAGTCGATTCAACATGATGACAAAATTAAATTACAAACTATTTTGGTGCGCGCTACTTATAAGTAGTATATGACGTGAGTGTAAACGTAATGTCTGGCAGCAGAAGATGGGCGAAGATCAAGAAAGGAAGAGTGGGGGAACACAATGGAATTTGTATGAAACGCATGAATAGTGAAATGTCAGACAATGGATTGAAGATTTGCAAATTAACCGCCGTTTACGATATGGTTTTCCTATTTTACTGAGTAACTCTGTAATTTTCGTTAAATACAATTCGGTTGCCCTCACCTGTGTTCTCGTTCACTACACTATAACTGGTTTGTTGAAGTATATCTTATGATCCAATGCGGTGTCATTATTGTTTTAATGAAGCCAAATTTATATCCTTCCTTCATAAATCTGACTCTCAATCTAAAGTATAAGTCTACTAAGCTTAAAAATGATAGAATAACAAAGTATCACATCATAGTCAATGTCAATTCGTGAGAAAAACCCTAACAGTCATGTAACAAACTAAACTCAAAACTCTAATTTAACTGTCAAAATCTAACCCTAATCATTTCACATCATTGTTGGTCCTCGTTCGGTGAGAAAAATTCTGTAGGCTGATAACCAGAACTCATAACACGGAATAATTCGGCGTGTAAAAGGGTTGATTATATTCATAAGATCAAGATATTTGACAACTTAAAACAAAATCACGTTAAATAGAACAAAAATAATCATTAATATATATATATATATATATATACGTACATTGTTACGAGATTTCGACGACTATTATACGATGAGTGACACAATTAGAATTATGGAGATTATTGTTTTTACCCATTTGAAATAATCAATCAGTCAATCATTGTTAGACCATCACCATTAGAAACCTGAAAACACTGAACGGCCGTTTCGTGGTCCTGGTATGGGATTCATCCGTGGCAGTGCGCATCCACGACTCCTGCACCTCGTAGGATTCGAACCCGCAAGCTTCGGTCTTGTATATCTGGACAACTAGGCCGGTATCCAAAGGTAGTAATGTTTAATAACTCTGATTGATGAAGGGATTTTGCGCGGCCTTACTGACTACACCCGACAAGGTTGATGCACTTCACTGGTCAAGTGTTCTCATCACTACAACTCCAAGAATTTCTTCACGAAGTTATTCGTCCGTCACTAATGTTCATATTTTACGATATTTTCAATGAGAGTTATTGTAGTGAAGGAGAACACAGGTGAGGGCAACCGAATTGTATTTGTCGTAAATTACAGAGTTACTCAGTAAAATCGGAAAACCATATCGTAAATCG